TACCAACATAACACAGTCCAGTGCTGCTGTTGCTATGGGTTTTTTTTTTTTTTTTTTTTTTTTTTTTTTTTTTTTTTTTTTTTTTTTTTTTTTGGTTTTTCGAGACAGGGTTTCTCTGTGTAGCTTTGTGCCTCTCCTGGAACTCACTTGGTAGCCCAGGCTGGCCTCGAACTCACAGAGATCCGCCTGGCTCTGCCTCCCGAGTGCTGGGATTAAAGGCGTGCGCCACCACCGCCCAGCCGCTTTGGGGGTTTTGTTCGATGGGTTCCGGCAACAAACCCCACTCATCACACATACTAGGTAACTGCTCTGCCGCTTGAATCACACCTCAGCCCTAACGTAAAAACTTTTTTTTACAATTTATTTAAATTTATTTTATATGCATTGGTGTGAAGGTGTCAGATTCCCTGGAATTGGAGTTACAGACAGTTGTGAACTGCCATGTGGGAATTGAACCTAGGACCCCTGGAAGACCAGCCAGTGCTCCTAACCTCTGAGCCATCTCTCCAGCCCCCATTAAAAACTCTTCCCTTGTTATATTTTTAACACAGGTGTTTGTTTGGTTTTGTCTTGTCTTATTTTCTTCAGAGCCTCACTGTGTAGGTGAGCCAGACTAGGATTTTCAGCCACCCTCCTGGTCCAGCTTCCAATCTACAAGGAATTCAGGTGTGAGCCATCACACCCAGTTTAACAAACGGTCTTAAAACAATTAGTTCATTCTTCTCTTGATTTTGTGTGTTGACTCAGTTTAAATGGATAACTTTGTGACCCAGGTGGCATAATTGAGGTCACTCAAGCCACTGGACCCAGCTGAGAGATAAATGGGACTCATGCCTCTGATGGGCTCCGATTCTCCAGATCTCTCTCTCTCTCTCTCCAGGATTTCTCATCCTTTAAAACACTAGGAGCACAAGGTCGCAGTGTATAAATTGTTATCAAACTGTTTCCTAATGTCTCACTGACCAAACTATTGCAAGTCCAGAATCTGAAGCCGGGCGGTGGTGGCGCATGCCTTTAATCCCAGCACTTGGGAGGCAGAGCCAGGTGGATCTCTGTGAGTTCGAGGCCAGCCTGGGCTACCAAGTGAGTTCCAGGACAGGCACCAAAGCTACACAGAGAAACCCTGTCTCGAAAAACAAAAAAAAAAAAAAACAAGTCCAGAATCTGTACAAGAGAGTACTACATAAAGTCATGAATATTAGAAGATACTGGTCATTAGGAACCAATGATGTAATAGCCTTTTGTTGTTCTTGGGTTTTGCTTGTTTATCTGTTAGAGTTCTTTTTTTTTTTTTGGTTTTTCGAGACAGGGTTTCTCTGTGTAGCTTTGCGCTTTTCCTGGAACTCGCTTTGGAGACCAGGCTGGCCTCGAACTCACAAAGATCCGCCTGCCTCTGCCTCCCAAAAGAGTGCTGGGATTAAAGGCGTGCGCCACCACCGCCCGGCTAGATTTCATTTTTATTGTTTTTAATTATAGCTGGTGTGTATCTGTGTGTGGGTATGCACACTTAAGTGCAGGTGTCCACAGAGGCCTTAGGGGTCAGAATCCCTTGGAGCAGGAGCTCCAGATGGTTTCCATCCATTCAATGTGGGCGCTGGGATTTGAACCTGAGTCCAGTGGAAGAACATGCTCCTAACCACTGAGCTATTTCTCTAGCCCTTATTTTTGTAACAGGGTCTCAAGTAGCCCATGCCGGCCTTGAACTCCCGATACTCCTGTTTCCACCACCTCTTAGTGCTGGGACTTTATGGGTGTGCATCTTGTTTTATTCGGTGCTGGGAATGGAACCCAGGCTCCATGCATGCTGGGCAGGCACTCTATCAGCGGAACTTAGGCATCAATTTCTATAGAAATGAAACAAAAGCCAGACTTGGTGGCACACATCTGTAACACCAGCGCTAAGGCGGCAGGGATTCCTTCGTTTTAGAGAAAGATACCTCAGTAGGGAAGATGAGGGATGGTGGGGAAATGGGCAGCTGTCATGTGCAGCCTGGTGTTCGGGCATACACCTACACCAATGCTTGGGAGGTCAAGGCCTGAGCTTTCAAGGCCAGCTTTGTCTACATAGTAAGAACCTGTCTCAAAATCCATCCCCCAACCCCGACACTAAAAAATATTGAAGTGATATCATTTTTTTTTTTAAGAAGAAGAGAGCAATGTGTGGACAATAGAATCATTCTGGAGAGGAACTGGATGTGGGAGGAGAAGGAGGCAACCACAGGGTGTGTGGGTATGCACACTTAAGTGCAGGTGTCCACAGAGGCCTTAGGGGTCAGAATCCCTTGGAGCAGGAGCTCCAGATGGTTTCCATCCATTCAATGTGGGCGCTGGGATTTGAACCTGAGTCCAGTGGAAGAACATGCTCCTAACCACTGAGCTATTTCAGTGTGTGTGGAGGCGAGAGGGCAGGGAGTTGTCCCATCAACGTTATCCACACACAGAAAGAGGAGTAGTGATGCTCTCGCTAGAACAGGTGGACTGCAGTGTGCCGGCAGGACATCCAGGTGCCACCGTTAACCAGCTATAAATTTAGGCATGAATTTGGTGATACCCAGATCTCCAGGTCCAGTCTCCGTATGCAAAATGCCCTAGCCTAGACACACAGATGTGAGAATCAGTGAGGCACAGACTAGGTCGGTGGTCTATGAGTATGGATGAGTGCCTTTTAGCATAGAGCAAAAGGAAATGAAGACGGAAGACACGCCTCGGAGAACCTGGAGAACCTTTGCATGGGGGGGTGAGGACAAAGGAAAACCAAGGAAGAATTTGAAGTTGCTAGGTGTAGGGCTGGGACGTAGCTCAGCCGAGGAGTGCTTGCCTGGCACACACAAAGCCTTGGGATCCCCCCACAGAAGCACATCAAGGTCTGTTTTTCATAAAACCCTACGGCAATTCAGCCAAGTTATCGGGTCCATTGTAACAAGAATAGATTTTATTCCAGTTTCCAATAAGAGATAAGACATTCCTTAATTTCCATCTGAGATTTCAACAGAATTCTCCCCCCCCCCCCATCCATATTCCTTTGTTTGTTTGGTTTTCTGAAACAGGGTTTCTCTGTATAACAGTCCTGGCTGTCCTGGAACTCACTTTGTAAGCCAGGCTGTCCTCAAACTCAGAGATCTGCCCGCCTCTGCCTCCTGAGTGCTGGGATTAAAGGTGCGCGCCACCGTCGCCCAAATCCCATTCATATTTCTACTAACACTTTTTTTTTCCTGAGAAAAGGTCTCATTCTATAGCTCAGGCTGGTCTCAAGTCCACAACAGACCCCTCCCTCAGCTTTCCAAGTGCTGGGATTGGTTACAAGCATAAGCCACCATGCCTGGCTCTACCACTACCTTTTAAGTTTTATGTGTATGGGTATTTTGCCTGCATGTATGTCTGCATACCACATAGATGTTTGGTGCCCTCAGAGCCCAGAAGAAGCACTGGATCCCCACTGGAGTTGCAGATGATTGTGAGCCACCATGTGGGTGCTGGGACTCTGGAAAATTAGCCCTTGCTCTTAACCTCTGAGCCATCTCTTTAGACCCTCCTGCTACCGCTGTAATTATGACCACTGAGTCACCTCTACGAAGTGTCAAACCTTATAATTCTCTACGTTTAGTTGTTGTTTTGTTTTTGAAACAGGGTCTTAGTATATAGCCCTGGCCAGCCTGGAACTTGCTGTGTTCCACACTGGTCTCGAACTCACAGAGATCTGCCTGCCTCTGCCTCCTGATAATTCTCCATTTTTGATCCCTTACCAGAACTGCCTCTATACTTGATGGAAATCTAGTCTGTTCTTTAACCTGCTTCTCCAAATGCTTCTCTCTTCTACCCATTTCCAAAGCCACGCCCAGTTTCAGGTGTTTGCTATTATACCATCTCATTCTCAGAACCATTAAGAACACTTACTGCTCTTCCAGAGGACCTGAGGTCAGTTCCCAGCACTCATATTGGTGACCCAACCACCTGTAACTCCAGATGCATAGGACACCCTCTTCTGGACTCTGCAGGTACACACACACACACACACACACACACACACACACACACACACACGCACACACACAAAACAGAGGGCTGGAGAGATGACTCAGCGATTAAGAGCACTGACCGTTCTTCCAGAGGACCTGGGTTCATTCCCAGCACCCACATGGCAGCTCACAACTGTCTGTAACTCCAGTTCAAAAACTCTCACACAGACATGAACGCAGGCAAAAACACCAATGCACATTAAGAAGAGGAGGAGGAGGAGGAGAACCAAAAAAAAAAAACAAAAAACAAAAAACAGGTGTGGTGTCACACACCTGTAATGCCAGAGCTTAGAAGATAGCATCAGGAAGATCAGAAGTTCAAGGCTCAGCCAGGCGGTGGTAGTGCACGCCTTTAATCCCAGCACGTGGGAGGCAGAGCCAGGCGGATCTCTGTGAGTTCAAGGTCAGTCTAGCCACAGAGTGAGATCCAGGACAGGCACCAAACAAAGCTACACAGAGAAACCCTGTCTCAAAAAAAAAAAAAAAAAAAAAAAAGTTCAAGGCTCCAAAAGTATATAAATAAATATGGGGGCGGCTGGAGAGATGGCTGAGTGACTGAGTACCAGCGGCTCTTCCAGAGGACTGGGTTTGATTCCCAGAGCCATACATGGTGGTCCACAGTCATCTGTAACTCCCTCTGACCTCTACATGTATGCTGTCATACGTGATCCCTCTCCTACGTGTATATACACAAACACAAGCACACACAATAGCACATTAAAAATCAGAGCAAAGTAAAACAAAAACTGGGCATATGGTTGCCGCAAGCCTGTCATCCCCACACTCTGAGAGCGGAGGCAGGAGGATCACCAGTTCAAGGTTGTCCTTGTCTGCATATTGAGTTTAAGGCTGGTTTGGACTACGTGAGCCATTGTCTCAAACAAAGAGAGAAAAAAAAAAAAAGTATGCTGAGAACAGAGAGGTCGGAGGTAGAGCTGACTTAGAAGGCTCGCGATGACTTAAGTAGGGTTGCTTACGTTACAGGCCTCTCCAGCATCAACCGGACGCGTCTGGATTTCCACTTCTCCAACAGAACTGCGGGTGGCAGGGAAGTTCGGCAGGCCCGCCTGGTGTTCTTTGTGCACCTCCCCTCCAACGCCACCCAGACCGTGAACATGCAAGTCCTTGTGCCCAGACCACGGGGCACCAACCTCACCTCGCCAAGTCAGCACCGGCTGCAGGTGGAGGGCAGCGGCTGGCACCAGCTTCTCCTGGGGCCCGAAGCTCAGGCTGCTTGCGGTCGGGGGCACCTTACCCTGGAGCTGATACCTGAAAGCCAGGCGGCCCACAGTTCAGTCATCCTGGGCGGGTTTTCTCACAGGCCCTTTGTGGCAGCCCGGGTAAGCGCCGGGGGCCAGCATCGGGTTCGCCGCCACCGAGGCATCGACTGCCAGGGAGGGTCCAGGATGTGCTGCCGGCGGGAGTTCTTTGTAGACTTCCGTGAGATTGGCTGGCACGACTGGATCATCCAGCCCGAGGGCTACGCCATGAACTTCTGCACCGGGCAGTGCCCGCTCCATGTGGCCGGCATGCCTGGCCTCTCCGCCTCCTTTCACACCGCAGTGCTCAATCTGCTCAAAGCCAACGCGGCCGCGGGCACCACCGGAGGGGGCTCGTGCTGCGTGCCCACGGCTCGGCGCCCTCTCTCTCTGCTCTACTACGACAGGGACAGCAACATTGTCAAGACGGACATTCCGGACATGGTGGTAGAGGCCTGCGGGTGCAGCTAGCTCACCTGTGATACAGGCAGCCCGAGGGAGAGCGGGCAAACCTGCCCTTACAAGACGGCCTTCCTCAGAAGGTGGGAGTGACTGGTTCTCTCCTGTCTAAGCATGCAGACTACCCTCTGTTGACCCCCGGAGATCTACATCTAAGACCACCAGCCTCTCTCTCTCTTTCCTGGGACGTGATTGACACAGAACACCCTTCATCCTAGACCCAGAACACCCCTCATCCTAGACCCAGAACACCCCTCATCCTAGACCCAGAACACCCCTCATCCTAGACCCAGAACACCCCTCATCCTAGACCCAGAACACCCCTCATCCTAGACCCAGAACACCCCTCATCCTAGACCCAGAGCACCCCTCATCCTAGACCCAGAACACCCCTCATCCTAGACCCAGAACACCCCTCATCCTAGACCCAGAACACCCCTCATCCTAGACCCAGAGCACCCCTCATCCTAGACCCAGAGCACCCCTCATCCTAGACCCAGAACACCCCTCATCCTAGACCCAGAACACCCCTCATTCTAGACCCAGAACACCCCTCATCCTAGACCCAGAACACCCCTCATCCTAGACCCAGAACACCCTTCATCCTAGACCCAGAACACCCCTCATCCTAGACCCAGAACACCTCTCATCCTAGACCCAGAACACCCCTCATCCTAGACCCAGAGCACCCCTCATCCTAGACCCAGAACACCCCTCATCCTAGACCCTCGTCCAGGGGCTAATCCGCTGTCAAACACAAGCAACACGGTCTCGTCCCCAGCAAAGACAGCCCTCGCTCACCCCGACCAACGTCATGTAGTGGTATTTGCTCTGACCATGATCCTGGGCTACACGGCCCAAAGGCGGGCGTGCTCCTGCTGTTGTAATGTGACTTCTTATAAGGAGCTGGAGAAAGGTCACATGCCCCTTCTCCCTGCTCCTGTCTGTGAGGTGGATTTGCTCCCGGTCAGATCAGTGGACGACTTCCGTCTACTCTGTTCTGTCATCGTGAGTGTATTTCCTCAATTTGTATCTTAATAAATTCTGTTACCCATTTAATAGACTCATGTGGATTGATCGTAATAATGATGTCATCTACTCTACCTCCATCTGATGGCTCCCACCCGACGATGGCATGCCCTAGTATGGCTCCCACTCCATGATGGCATGCATGCCCTAGCATGGCTCCCACCCCACGATGGCACACCCTAGCATGGCTCCCACCCCACAATGGCATGCCCTAACATTTTCCCTCTAGTTATTCGGCGCTCCAAAAGACCCCTTCCATGGGTTCACTAGATCGCTGTTTTCCGAAGCGAGAGCCTTGCCCAAACTTCCCGCTAATACTGTTTGCAGAACCCTGTCTTCCTCTGCCTGTGAGGGCTGTCACACCTGAGCCGCATCATCCGAGCTCTCCTACCCTCGGTCTTGCCGCTGAATTCCAGGGAGACTCGGGGTGGAGACTGAAGGCTAGGGAGTGACAGAGGTCAGAAAACTCCATCAGGCGCAATGTCTCGCACTTACAATCCCAGCACTTAAGAGAGTGCTACCTAAAGGTTGAGGCCAGCTAGTTCTAGGCTAGCCTGGGCTACACTATTAAGACTTTGTCATAAAGTAAAAGAAAGGAGCAGGGGAAAGAAAAGAATATTTCCTATTCCCACTCCCCACCTGTTTGCAGGACACGTCTCTCTGTAGCCATGACTGTGCTATGTCTGCACGGCTGCAGATTTGGGGACTCAGTATCATTATTTCAACACTAAGAATCTGGATGGCTTGCCTTTTTCTAGTCCCTGGTATCTGAACATCCTGTTTTTGTTTTCCAATTCACTGTGTAGAGCAGGCTTGCCTAGAACTCACAGAGCTCCACCTGCCTTCACCACCGTGCCCAGCTGTGAACACTGTTTTTGGTTGGGTCCCACAACCCTACCTGTGACCCTGTGACCCCCTTTCACTAGGTTCCCTTGAGCTAGTTCAAAATGTCCTCTGTCTCCTGTTGAGACCTTCCCCTGTCTTCACATGGTCCCCTCCGGCTCAGCCGTTCCATCCATCTCATACTTCATGCCTCGTCCTCCTCCAGGCTGCCCCTTCTTCCTTCATCTCCCCCCATCCTCCTTCCAGAACTATCCTTCCGTGGTGTCATGGCTAATAATGAACTAGCTATTGCCTGGATCTCATCCCCCTCTGAACTCACTCCAAGAGATGAGACAGATCGATAGTCAATTATCAAGTAAGCCAACAGTGGCCACACAGGGTGAGGGCAAAGACATTCTCATAGCTGGTTGTTGGAATTCTGGTTCACCTTCCTTCACCCACCCTTAGAGCTCCCGCCGCCGCCGTGAGTCCTGCCTGGAAGCTTCAGAGAGACAAGAGGAGGAAGGCCTACGATGAGGAGAGGGCAGCGTTCACTCTGAGAGCGGATCCTCTTTAGACCTTTACCCTCTTTCCTCACTGTCTCCGCCCTGCGGCTGGACAGCCCTGAACCATGGGGTCGATACCGTCTGCAGCCCAAGGCCAGGTTTGCGCAAACCCCCTGTGCCCTGTGGGTAATGTGATGTCTGTGTTTGCTCAGCATGTAACCCCCTCCTACCAGGGCAAGCGGTCCCTGAAACGGAAATGCAGAAGGGAAAACCTGCAAGGGACCTTTGGGGGGGGCTGCAGGTCCGAGCTGTGGGGTTTCCTACGCAGCCCATGGGAGACCCTCGTCTAAGAGGTTTCCTGGTGTCTCTTCCTCTGCCCTTTGTCAATCAGTTGTGTCCCACTTTTATCCCCCTCTTAGCTCGAAGCTCTTCCCTTGAAATGACAGTTTCAGTGCCCAGGACCAAGACCAGGGTAAGGCAAAGCGAGGCCCTCACCTGGTGGGCAGAACTTTAAGGTGAAGGCAAATAGTTCATCAATGGAGAAACCAGTATTTTAATGAAAGCTGCTCAAACACGGTGAATGCTGCAAATCCATGACGAACAAAACAGCATCTTTAAAAATAAACACAGGATCCATGTTATTCACTTTCTTTTTTGGCTCTGCTTTAAAAAAAAAAAAAAAAAAAAGGAATGGAAGAACCTGTCATCATCCTCTACACATTTTCTCCCCGAGCCCCCTACCCCCCACCTCTAGACTCCTTCGGGCTGTTCTCATTTGGGCGAATAAGTGGCTCTGCTTCTACTTCCCTCCCCATTCTCACGCCTGTCGCTACCCCCAGCCCCCAGCCAGCTCGGTGGCAAGGCGGGCTGTGTGGCAGATGCCTGGGTATTTATAACCTGGAAGTACTTCTTGGGGAAAGTGACTAAGATGCTAAGAGCGTATTTATAGCTAAGTTCTGACGTAAGTGTCAGTGGGGAGGTAGGACCAGGCCAGGCTCACCAGCCAAGGGGGGTGGGAAGGACTTGAAACCATGGGCACCTGACGAGGTGTGGGAAAGGTGGCGTCAGTGACTCCCACAGCCACTGCTTGTTACTTCCCCTGAGCCTGATTCCTGGCACAAACAGGTAAGCCCTCCTAGGCACCGCCAGGGATGGGCACTTACAGTCTCATGGTCCAGACCCACAGGCTAGCAGGCTGTCACTTACCTGCAGGGACCAACAGAGAGGGGGGGACTGAGAGCCACAGAGAGCAGTAGCCGGGAAAGTCTCCACTACGTTTCAGGGCCTGGGGAGAAATGCAGGCAGATAGAATTGTCTCCTAACCCTTTCTCCTCCCTCTCTACTCCATGACGCCCTGAATTTCTAGGAAGTCTGGCCTCCACCGTCGGGCTCCATGGCCATGTGTCAAAGGTGGCAGGGATGCAGTACGGAGGACTCCCTCTGCTGTCTGGCATTAGGGAAGCAAAGGAGCAGAGGAACCACCCCTTTCCACTGCCTGGGAGGGAGGCATATCCCTCCTCTCTGCAGCAGCCTCAACCCTGTCCCCAGGATTCTCTGGTGTCCAGTGGCTGCTGTCCAGTGGCAAGGCACTGCCACACGGTGGACACTGGTGGTATTGAGGATCAGCCTTCCAAGAACATCCCTTTCCTCGGTCCAGATCTAGAACTCTGGAGGCAGCCACCACACCAAGCTAAAGAAGGGGAAGATGTGGAGTGGGTGGGGGACTCTATGTCACACCCCTTTGGCTCACAGCTTTCTCACCAAGATGCTTCCCAGCTTCTTAAACAAACTGGTGGGCAGGAGAGATGGCTCAGAGGTTAAGAGCACTGACTGCTCTTCCAGAGGTCCTGAGTTCAATTCCCAGCACCCACATGGTGGCTCACAACCATCTGTAATGAGATCTGGCGCCCTCTTCTGTGTACATAATAAATAAATAAATCTTAAAAAAAAAAAAAAAGAACAGAAAAAGAAAAAGAAACTGGTGCTGCTGGGCGGTGGTGGCGCACGCCTTTAATCCCAGCACTCGGGAGGCAGAGGCAGGCGGATCTCTGTGAGTTCAAGGCCAGCCTGGGCTACAGAGTGAGTTCCAGGACAGGTTCCAAAGCTACAAAACCCTGTCTTCCAAAAAAAAAAAAAAAAAAAGAAAGAAAGAAAGAAAGAAACTGGAGCCAAGGAGAAACGCCAGCTGGGTACCACCCTCCTGTATCAGAGGTAGAAGGTCACTCCCATTTAAGGTCATGCACCCTAGGGCTGGCTATGTAGCTCAGTGGTAGGGTACTAGCCTAGCATGTGCAAAGCCCTGGTTTCAATCCTCAGCGCCAGGCATGGTGGGTGGTTCTTGCCTCTAATCCTAGCACTCAAGAACAGAAGTTGGAGGTCACCCTTAGCCACATAGGGCATTGAAGGTCATCCTTGGCTACAGAGGGAGCACAAAATCAGCCTGGAATACAGGAGAGTCTGACTCAAACAACAGTAACAGAAAAGCAAAGCAACTCAACGTAGTCTCACGACTAAGAAGACTGAGGCAGGAGGATCACTTCCTTACACCTAGGAGTTTAGCCAGCCTGGCCAACATGGAAACATTTCATCTCAAAAGACAAAACAAACAAACAAACAAAAAACATTAACAACAACAATAATAAAACCAGTCTAACAGGCCTGGGGGAAAAAAAAGAAGAAGAAGAAGAAGAAGCCCAGGCAGCTGTGGTGCACACTTTTAATCCCAGCACTCAGGAGGCCGAGGCAGGCGGATCTCTGTGAGTTCGAGGCCAGCCTGGGCTACAGAGTGAGATCCAGGACAGCCAGGGCTACACAGAGAAACTCCGTGTGTGTGTGTGTGTGTGTGTGTGTGTGTGTGTGTGTGTGTGTGTGTGTGGAGGGGAATGTTAGGGGGTGACAGAGTGGGGGTAGGGAGAATGGAGTCAGAGATAGGGGGATGACTCAGAAGGCAAAGCTATTATTGCCTTGAAAGCACAAGGCGTCGAGCATTAGAGTCCCCGGAGCCCAGGTAGAAATGGGGACGTGAGCTTGTAATCCCAGTGCTGGGGAGGCAGGCACAGGGAGCAATCCCTAGGGCTCACTGGCCAGCAGGTCTAGTCTAGTTGGTGAGTTCCAGGCCCATAAGAGACCCTGTCTCAAAGGAGGATGGAGTTCCTCGGGGTGGCACCCAGGGCTGTTCTCCGGCACACACACACACACACACACATGCACACTGAAAATCAAAGTCAGCGGAGGGTGGCTGGAGAGCTGGAAGAAGAGGAGCCAAGGCTGCTCTGCTTTCCCTGCTTTGTTCTCTGCGTCCCTTAAGCTTCCATTTTCCAACCTCGTTAACCGAGGCCTGGCACCAGCCCTGGCATGCCCCACATTTGGCCAGCTCCTACGGTGCCCTAAAGACAAGTGGTCAGTGGGCACAGGCTCTGCAAAGGCGCACACCCTTCCGCCAGCCTCGATGGACTCTGCCCTGCTGTGGGGTTGCGTCACTACCACCCCCAACCTCTCTGGGTTTCCCCAGATATCACAGAAGCACGTCCTCACCCCTTGCTCTGGCCCTCCCCCAGCTGGACTCTGAGCAGCCAGCGCAGGCAGGGTCAAAAGGTAATGTCCATGTCCCGTGGCACTGCCACCTTGGCCTGAGCAAGAGGACTCCATTTTCCCGCCACCCCTCCCAAATTCTCACCCCTATCCCAGCTGTCAAGCCAGAAATGGAGACCACCATTCTTCTGACCTACAGACCCTCAAGAGCTAACCATTGGATTCCATGGCTGCCTCATAAACTGTTACAGAAGTGGTGGGCAAGCCGGGGAGATAGGACATGGGGAGATAGGACATAGGAAGGAGCCGCCCATCCCCACCTGGCTCCTATGGAGTCCCTCCTCTGAGTCCCAGACCTTGGGAACCGAGCATGTGAAGTCATCCTTTCTTGCATCATGCATGTCCACGTTGCAACCGCACCCCCCCCCTCCCTCATGCCCCTACCTCAAGCTACCACAACCAGATGGTGAAACTTGAGCCCCAGGGGAGACCTCCACCCCCTGCAGGGGCCTGATGGGCAGCTCAGCTGGCCAATCCTAAGGCTCAGAGGATAGGTCGGCTGGCTGACCACTAGGTGAGGGAGCCCAAGCAGTTGGCTCTAAAGAGGCCGTGCTCAGTAGTCAGTCATGAGCTGTGAGGATCGAACACAGCTACCCATCAGATGATCTTCTCTCAGCTTGCTGAGCCCCAGGCCATCGAGGACAAGTGGCTCTGCTCTTTTGTCAAGAGTAGCTGTGACACTGCTTATTCCCGCTGCTGCAGCTGCACCCTCTTGGGCTCATTAAATTGCCATCCGAGGCTCTCGACTCAGGGCCGTCTACCTGGAGCATGGGGCTTTCAGAGGTCCAGCTCTGGCCAGTGCTACTGTGGGCCTTGGCGTGGATGCAGAACGCAAGATCTGCATGTCCGTCCTGTGGGGGCCCATCCCTGGCACCCCCAGGAGAACGTGCCCTGGTCCTAGAGCTAGCCAAGCAGCAAATCCTGGAGGGCCTGCACCTGACCAGCCGGCCCAGAATAAGTCGCCCTCTGCCCCAGGCAGCACTAACCAGAGCCCTCCGGAGACTGCAGCCCGGGAGCGTGGTTCCTGGCAACCGGGAGGAAGTCATCAGCTTTGCTTCCATCGTAGGTGGGTGAGGGGAGAGAGACGGGGGCCCTGGAGGAGGAAGGAGAGCCCTGGAAGGGAGGCAGGGGGAATGGGGTGTGGCTGGCAGAAGGAGGAGCTGAGGGCAAGTGTGGCTGTCCAGGCTCTGTCCGGAGGTCTGAATGACGGTGCTGTGCAGGGTGGCGGGAGCATCAAAGGGAAGCTTTGTCTCTGTTCACATTTTTATTTGCTTTTTTTTTTTTTTTTAATCGTTTGTGCAGGCAAATCCACTTCCACCTACCGCTCCATGCTCACCTTCCAGCTGTCCCCTCTTTGGTCGCACCACCTGCACCATGCCCGCCTCTGGCTGCATGTGCCCCCGTCTCTCCTTGGCACCCTCCACCTGAGGATCTTCCGTTGCGGCACCAGGAGGTGCCGCGGATCTCGCACCTTCCTGGCTGAGCACCGAACGACTTCCCCAGGCTGGCACGCCCTGACTCTGCCCTCTAGTGGCCTGCGGAGCGAGGAATCTGGGGTCGTGAGGCTGGAGCTGGACTACAGACCCCTGGGCCCCAACAGCACCGGGGTCGCGGGACTGCCACGGCGGCTCTTGGACACCGAGGGACAGCAGCGTCCCTTCCTGGAACTCAAGATCCGAGCTAACGAGCTCGGGGCAGGCCGGGCCAGGAGGAGGACTCCCACCTGTGAGCCCGAGACCCCCTTATGCTGCAGGCGAGACCACTACGTAGACTTCCAGGAGCTGGGGTGGCGGGACTGGATCCTGCAGCCTGAAGGATACCAGCTGAACTACTGCAGCGGGCAGTGCCCGCCCCACCTGGCTGGCAGCCCTGGCATTGCGGCCTCCTTCCATTCCGCTGTCTTCAGCCTCCTCAAAGCCAACAACCCTTGGCCTGCGGGTTCTTCCTGCTGTGTCCCCACGGCCCGAAGACCCCTCTCACTCCTCTACCTCGACCATAATGGCAACGTGGTGAAGACCGATGTGCCAGACATGGTCGTGGAAGCCTGCGGCTGCAGCTAGCAAGAGGACCTGAAGGTTCTGAGTGAAGTTCAAGGTTCAGGTTGGGGGTTCCCTGGCAAAAGACTCCCGTGTCTGGGAGCCTGAGATTTGCTGACCCATGCAGGTTCCCAACAGACTACCTGGCAGTGTGATTGGGCTTGACCCCTATGGAACTCAAATGGGCATTTTCTTGTCCTAGATTCTGGTCTATTTCAGGCTGTTTCCAATGTGGACAGATGGGTAAAGTGTTTCCTTTCAAGGGGACTGCCTGGCCAGCAGCATTTCCTTCATCGAGCCCTGTTCCCGGACAGCAGGGGATGTCGTAGGAGGGAAAGGAGGACGCAGGGGAAAATGACTTAGTTTCTCCCCAGAAAAGAATTTCCTCAAGTAAGGAAGGAGGAACTAGAGGGCCCAGCAGACTGGGGGACGGCAGACAAGCAGGCTAAGAACGGGGACTACTGCCTGCTTTGAAGCGACGTCAAGAGGAAGAGGAGCAAGGTGTGGGCGTGGGGATGGGTTGCGGGGCTGAGGGCCTGGAACTGAGAGTCAGTGTAAAGGGATGCGGAGCCCACGAAGTTCTCTAGCTTTCCCTCGAGGACAAGACATAATTTCTCACGTGGAAGACATAATTTATACTTTCTTAATAAAAAAACGAGAAAGAAAAGGAACAGTGAGTCGTCGTGATAAGGGGTTGGTGACATAGGTCACATGATAAGGGGTTGGTGACATAGGTCGTAAGCCAAGTGTGGCCTGAGGACCTCTGCCAGGTCCTGGAAAGCCCTCTCAGAGGTTTCAGAAACATTTTCATAATAATACAAAGATGTTATTTGCCCCTTGTTATCATTATCTCTACATTATACTGTGGGGACAGGGTGTGGTGGTTGCAGCACTCAGAAGACCGAGGCAGGAGAATCACTGATTCAAGATCAGCAGAATTCCAGACCATGAAGTGTAGGCCAGCCTGAGCTACTGAGAACCTGTCTCAAAGCAAACAAAAACATCGATGGAGTTTTCCAGAGAATAAGATACAGCTTATTACATCACTGCCGAGAGATCAGGAGCTTATCTATTCCTTTCCTTTTCTCCTGTAAAAAGTCTTATTTACAGCTGGGTGGCAGTGGCGCACGCCTTTAATCCCAGGATTTGGGAGGCAGAGGCAGTCAGATTATCTCTGAGTTCCCAAGGCCAGCCTGGTTCACAGAGTGAGTTCCAGAACAGCCAGGGCTACACAGAGAAACCTTGTCTCAAGAAACCAATAAATAAACAAATATGGATATTTTAAGAAAGAGTTAAAATCTGAAGAGCTGATCCAGTACTTAAAGAGAGCCTGTTGCTCACAGGGGACAAGGGGTTTGGTTTCCCGCATCCACATGGTGGGTCAGCCATCAATAACTCCAGCTCCAAGGAGCCCGGCACCCTCTTCTGACCTCCACAGGGACCAGGCATGCATGTGGTACATATATGTGCATGCGGGCAAAACACTGATACACACAAAATCAAATAGACAAACCTAAAAACGACATAAGTTAAAGAGAGGTTGGGGGCACAGCTCATTAGGGAAGGCACCTGCCACACAAGATAAGATTTGTGTTGGGTTCCCCAGTACCATGTAAAATCCCGAGGTGGGGACACCTGTGATCCCAGTGCTGGGGAGAAGGCTATCTGTGTCGATGCATTCCAAGTTCAGGGATCTAAAAAAAAAAAAAAGATGGCTAGCTGACGCACACCTTTAGTCCTAGTACTTGAGAGGCAGAGGCCGGTGGATCTCTGAGTTCGAGGCCAGCCTGGTCTACAGAGTGAGTTCCAGGACAGCCAGGGCTACACAGAGAAACCCTGTCTTGACAAAAACAAAGAACAAAAACCAAACAAACAATAAAAAGGTGAGGTGGGAGCTGACGCGAGGACTCAGCAGGTCAAGGTGACTGCTCCAGGCCTGAATACCTGGCTATGCATGTTCAGTCTCCAGGAGCCACAGGTTGGACAGAGAGAACCAACTCCCACGAGCTGTGGTGTTGGTTGGAGTGAGATGCCCCACAGCCGTAAGTTTCTCCAGTCCCACCCAGCCCCGAGGTCCTGAGCCGCTTATAAATATAAGCCTCACTCAGAGGGTTAATATTAATTGCAAATTATATGGCCTATGGGTCAGGCTTCTTGCTCGTTTGCTCTTATGGTTTTTGTTGTTGTTGTTGTTGTTTTCGAGACAGGGTTTCTCTGTATAGTTTTGGTGCCTGTCCTGGATCTCACTTTGTAGACCAGGCTAGCTTCGAACTCACAGAGATCCACCTGCCTCTGCCTCCCAAGTGCTGGGATTAAAGGTGTGTGCCACCACCACCTAACTAGCTCTTATAATTTAACTCAACCCATTTTTATTAATCTATATGTTGCCATGTGGCCGTGGCTTAACTGGCCTGCTGGCATCTTGCTGCTCATTGGGCGGCAGGCTGGTGTCTCCCAGACTCCATCCTTTTTCATTTCATCTTTAGTTTCAATGTATCACCTAACTTTATCCTGACCTGCCATAGGTCGATGCAGCTTTAATTATCAACCAATCAGAGCAACACATATTCACAGTATACAGAAAGACATCCCACAGCACTTCCCCTTTTCTGTCTAATCAAAAGGGAAGATTTTAACTTTAACATAATAAAATTACACATAATAGAACAGTTATCAAGCAAGAATTACAGTTACAATATCTAGTCTATTTGTATTTGGCAAAGTTAAAGAAAATATTCTATCATCTATCCTATATTTGTGAGTCTAAAGTTTCACATCTAATTTATTTTTTATCATAACTAAGGAAAACTATAATTATAACTAACTAGTCTTCAACTACATCAAAGACCCCAGAAGGATATAATATTATTTATTACCTAAGTAAATAGGAAGTGCTTTGTAAGCGATGTCCATAATTCTAGAAATGACAGAGACATCTGTCTGCCTGGGCAGTCATCCAAAGTTCCTCTGCGACGTTGGGGCATCCGTCTTCAGCCTATAGACCTAGAGTCTCTCAGTCACTTTTCCCTGTGTCCTGCAGCTTGTCTGGTGGCAGATTGCAAAGCAGGAACCTGAAGGACCATTTCACCTTGTTTTGGCAAAATTCAGTGGTCATTTTTCTGTGGGTCCTGCATGTCCAGTTTATACAACATTTTATCAAGCAGTCCAGGCAGGAGCAGTTTCTTGCCCAAATGGTCAGTTTTGCCAAGAAGATAAACTCCATATGGAGTGTCTTCGATGCCTGTCTTCCTCTTTGAAGTAAATTGGTGCTGCCAGGAGCAGATGTGTCTCACTGTCCAGAAAAGTCTAAGTTTTTAAGTATTTGAAGATTAGCTACCTAAGTGAAATATATCTATGTATACCTAGAAAACTTAATTAACATGATTATAAGTTTGATCATCATAAATGACTAATTATTTTGTATTTTTAATATATATTACAATTTAAATGAGTTGCATAAACATAATACCTTAAACAATAGAAATATATATACATAGTATAACAAAATTAACTTTAAATTTGTATCGATAAACCAAAATCCATAGCAATGTAAAACATTTCAAATAAGTTGTTGCTCTTTAAAAGTAGATTCAATAATCTACCCTTTTATCCTATCATATCTATATCTTACATTTCTATATCATATCCCCCTTTCTTCTTTTAGAAAGAGATTGACTATGACCAATAACAATTTTTTTAATGATTTATTTTTATGTGCATGTACATCTGTGTGAAGGTGCTAGATCCCCTGGAACGGGAATGACAGACAGTTGTGAGCCACCGTGTGGTTGCTAGGAATTGAACTCAGGACCTCTGGAAGAACAGCCAGTGCTCTTAACTTCTGAGCCATCTCTCCAGCCCCCCAATAACAATTTGTAACCAAACCCCTAAACAAAGAGAAACATCCATAATTCATATTTTTTTGTGGGCACAATGTAGGCATAGTCCTCTAGGCTACTTCCTGATGATTGGGGGCACTGTTAATCTTATGGGGATCCTGAGAATATTGAGAGAGGGGCATTATTTTCTTAGAATTGCTTCCTGCTGTTTAGGGGGCAACAGTATCTCTGTGGGGTCCTGTAAGAAAGCTTAGATAGGCCGGGCGGTGGTGGTACACACCTTTAATCCCAGCACTCTGGAGGCAGAGGCAGGCGGATCTTTGTGAGTTCGAGGCCAGTCTGGGCTACAGAGTGAGTTCCAGGAAAAGTCACAAAGCTACACAGAGAAACCCTGTCTCTGGGGAAAAAAAAGAAAGAAAGAAAAGGAAAAAAATGGGCTGGAGAGATGGCTCAGAGGTTAAGAGCACTGCTTGTTCTTCCAAAGGTCCTGAGTTCGATTCCCAGCAACCACATGGTGGCTCACAACCATCTGTAATGAGATCTGGTGCCCTCTTCTGGCCTGTAGGCATACATGCAGACAGAACACTATAAACATGATAAATAAATAAAACTTTAAAAAAAAAAAAGGAAGGAAGAAAGCTTAGATAGTCAGTTCTCAAAAGATTAGCTGTAAAGTCTGCAGCCAGTCTCAGAGTAATTGGTAAGATTGTCTGAGATTCTGGCTAGAAGTGTAGTATGATGGACCATTTCATTTTAGAACTGTCCTGAAGAATTATCAGTCCAAGGCTAATCATTGAGTAATGTTCTTAGGTACAATGGCATCTTTCTGGACTGAGTAGAGTCATTGTTGTGGGGCCCCATCTTCCTTTTGGAGACTTCAGAGATTGCTATTGGAAAGACTCATATTTCACTGTGGAAAACTTGAACATTAATAACATCAAAATGTAAAGTTTGGATTTATGCTGGATTGAGAAGGGATTCCCAAAAAGCAAGGACAAGCATGGAAAGAAATAGAATCTTGACAGCAATAGTCCCTAGATTATTGGTTTTCTTCTGTCTCACACCAGTTGGCTCTTCTGATATGAGACAGAATTTCCTAATTTTTCTTTTAGCAATATGCTTGGGTTTAGAGAAAGAGAAAGCCACATTCCAACTCCAAAGTCAGCTTGATTTGTAATTGAATCGGGACCACAAGTATTCTAGAGTTAAAGAGATATTGATGTTAGGCATTGAGATATTACCCTGTAGAGTATATTGGTATCAATAAGTCCTTCTCTTCTGCTGTAAACATCTAGGTGTCTAAGGCCTTATGATTTCTTTTTTTTTTTTTTTTTTTTTTTTTTTTGGTTTTTCGAGACAGGGTTTCTCTGTGTAGCTTTGCGCCTTTCCTGGAACTCACTCTGTAGACCAGGCTGGCCTCGAACTCACAGAGATCCACCTGGCTCTGCCTCCCGAGTGCTGGGATTAAAGGCGTGCGCCACCACCGCCCGGCTTTGGCCTTATGATTTCTTAAAGATGGGTATTTCTATTATCCTGTAAAGACAAAAAACAGAAAGTTGCCCCAATCCTTGTTTGTTGAGTTTTTCTTACAACTTGTAGAGATGTCACATTGGTGGATGAGCTATTACTTCTCCTCATCAAGGGGTTTCTCCTGTTCGAAGCAAATTTTTGTTAATTTTGTTGGTATCCATAGCTTTTCTTCTCCTGTAGAAACAAAAGCAAAACCCCTTCCCCAATGTAGGACGTCATCCTTGTGGTGATATTTTATTTGTGCTGAAATGTGGTGATATTGTGCTTTAATAAATAAAGCTTGCCTGGAGATCAGAGGAATAGGAATAGCCATTATAAGTAAACACGGAAGTCAGGCAATGGTAGTGCACGCCTTTAATCCTATCACTTGGCAGACAGGGATCTGTCTGGATCTCTGTGAGTTCAAGGCCACACTGAAAACAAAGCCAGGTGTGGTGGCACGTGCCTTAAATTCCAACACTAGTTAACCATGGAGGTCTGGAGGTATGTACAGACAGACAGGAAGTGACAGAGCTGGGCAGGAAGAGGAAGTGATGTAGCTGGACAGAGAGAGCAAATCAGATGGCAGAACAGCAAGGCATACAGGCCTGGGCAGACAGGAAGTCGCTCGCATTTGGAAGGTGCCAAGTTGATAAGATTTGGTTAGCTGTGGCTTTCCCTATTTCCCTGATCTCTCTCGGGCTTTCACTCCTATATCTGGCTCTGTGTTTTTTATTTAATAAGACCATTTAGAAATTCATTTACATACGCTGGTTTCCACTCCGAGGTCAACACACATTTGAAGTAAACAGGTTGGTTTAGCTCAGTAGTTTTTTCTGTCATCCAAAGTCTCTCCACAGCTGTTTTTCCTTTCCCATCAGCATTGAGAAAATTCAAGGTTAATAAAGCATTATGCAATCTATTTCTAGGAGTCATTGTTACCTGTTTCTGTTTATGTAGCATATCCTTTAAAGTTTGATTGGATCTTTCTATGACTGCTTGGTCTATGGTATACCTGTAACATGCTTTATATTGTAATAAGCAAAAAACTGTCTCATTTTATTGGAGACATATGCTGGGGCATTGTCTGTCTTAATTTGTACAGGTATTCCCATGATGGCCATAACTTCTAATAGGTGTGTAATCACAGAATCAGCCTTTTCAGAATGCATGGGAGTTGCCCATTGACATCCTGAATAGGTGTCAATGGTATTTATTTTTTGTCTGCACTAGCAAAAGCTAAATCTGCTACACAGTGTGCTGTGTGGCTTGGAGACACCTCTGTGAACCACAATGGGAATCCACCATGCCGTAGGTCAAGCCTGCACACCATGGCATCTCTGTATCACGGACTGCCCGAGAGATACAACTAGGAAGCTGCTCTTGGTTCCATTTTAGAACCTTTTTTAAAGCTTTCTCAAGTTTTGGGTGGAAATTCTTGCTAGCATGTTGGTTGCCAAAATGTAGCCATAAGTTTCTCTGGTCCCACCTGGCCCCGGGGTCCCATGTTTCTCTGGGCCTGCCCGGTCCCACGGTCCCACAGCCGCTTATAAAATAACCACTCAGAGGCTTTAATATGAATTGCAAATCATATGGCCTATGGCTCAGGCTTCTCATTAGCTAGCTCTTATAACTTAACTCAACCTATTTCTATTAATCTGTATGCTGCCACGTGGCCGTGGTGTTACTGGTCTGCTGGCATCCTGTTGCTCCTTGGGTGGTGGGCTGACGTCTCCCCCGACTCCATCCTTCTTCATCTCATCTTTAGTTTCAATGTACCACCTAACCTTATCCTGCCCTGCCATAGGCCAGTGCAGCTATATTTGTCAACCAATCAGGGCAACACATATCCACAGTATACAGAAAGACATCCCACAGCATGCCCCTCAATGGGTCGCCTATTTGAATACTTGGTCCCAGTTGGTGGAACTGTTTGGGAAGGATTAGAAGGCATGTCCTAATACATTTACCTTAATTGTTCTAGTATTAATAATAATAAAAAAGAAAACCTCGGGAGTCATAAATTAAGATCAAAACCTGATAAATTAAAAAAACGTGGAGGAAGGATCGGCTGACCCTACTCTCTCTGTTTCCCAGATCGAAAAGCCCAAGAAACCTCTCCAAGCCCCGCTTCATCTCTTCCTATACCTCTCTATCCAACTCCGTGGGTCCTCCAAAATATCTATGGCTAATTCCAGTCAGTCAAACACCGACTCTGCTCTCTGATTCAAGGTTTAGCTTTATTAGAAGCCCTGGAGTGTCAGTGGGGACAAATGCCCCACAACGGTGTCCTTGTTGAAGGAGATGTGTCTCTGTGGCAGACTTGGAGGTTTCAGAAGCACAGGTCATCTCCTTCCGTGTTGGCTCTCTCTCTCTTTGCCTCCTGGTTGTATCTCAAGATGTCAGCTCTCAGCTACTGCTCCAGCATCATGCCTGCCTGCTGCCATGCTCTCCACCGTGATGGTCATGGACTCACTCTCTGAAACTGTAAGCCCCAAATAAACACTTCCTGTTATAAGCTGCCTTGGTCATGTTATCTTTTTTGTTTGTTTTTTTGTTTTTTTCGAGACAGGGTTTCTCATTGTAGTTTTGGTGCCTGTCCTGGATCTCGCTCTGTAGACCAGGCTGGCCTTGAATTCACAGAGATCTGCCTGGCTCTGTCTCCTGGGATTAAAGGCGTGCACCACCGCCACCTGGTGGTCATGTTATCTTATCACAGCAACAGATAGTAATCTGTATTGTGTACCCTAATAAACTTGTCTGAGGATCAGAGGACAGAGCCAGTCACTAGATTAGACATTGAGACCAGACAGTGGTGGCACACACCCTTAATCCTATCACTTGGGAGGCAGAGATGTCTGGATCTCTGTGAGTTCAAGGCCACACTGGAAACAGAACCAGGCAGTGGTGGCACACACCTTTAATCCCAGTACTGGGAAGCACACACTCCTTTCTTTAATCCCAGGAAATGATGATAGGGTGGAGAAGGTATATAAGGTGTGAGGAAACAGGAACTAAAGCAGTTCAGCTGAGATCTTTTTGGATAAAGACTCAGAGGATTTCAGTCAGAGGATTCATGGAGTTGGTGAGGTAATAGGAGGTGGCTGTGGCTTGCTCTGCTTCTCTGATCTTTCAGCTTTTGCCTTAATATCTGGTATTTGTTTTTTATTAAATGACCATCTAAGATTCAAACAACACTAAGATGGTTGTCTAAGAGAAATGAGTCCGCTAAGCTACCCCCTGGCCTCCACACACACCATGGCACTCATCTATTTCCATGTTTAGTCACCAGGGAGTGACACTATTTGAAAGGGTTATAAGGATTAGAGGTGTGGTCTTGTTGGAGGAAGTGTGTCACTGGGGGTGGGCTTTGAGGTTTTGAAAGCCCATTCCAAGCCCAGTGTCTCTCTGCCAGAGGATAAGGATGTAGCTCTCAGCTACTTCTCCAGCACCATGCCTGTCCCCATGATCTCTGCCATGATGCTAATGGACTAAGCCTCTAAAACCATAAGCCAGCCCCCAATTAAATGCTTTCTCCTATAAGAGTTGCAGTAGTCATGATGTCTCGTCACAGCAGTAGAACAGATTAAAACAGCAGTCAAGTGCACCCTCTGCTACAGGTACACCACATAAATAAAAATGCTTTAAAATAAGGTGGAAAGCTGGGCATGGTTGTACAGGCTTCTAATCTCTCTCTCTCTCTCTCTCTCTCTCTCTTTAAAGATTTATTTAATATATATACAGTATTCTGTCTGCATGTGTCCTTGCAGGCCAGAAGAGGGCACCAGATCTCATTACAGATGGTTGTGAGCCACCATGTGGTTGCTGGGAATTGAACTCAGGACCTCTGGAAGAGCAGTCAGTGTTCTTAACCTCTGAGCCATCTCTCCAGCCCCTCTTTTTTTTTTTTTTAAGATTTATTTATCATGTATACAGTGTTCTGTTTGCATGTATCCTTGCAGGCAGAAGAGGGCATCCGATCTCATTACAGATGGTTGTGAGCCTCCATATGAGTGCTGGGAATTGAACTCAGGACCTCTGGAAGAACAGTCAGTGCTCTTAACCTCTGAGCCATCTCTCAAGCCCCCAAAGCTTTTAATCTCAGCACTTGGTAGACAGAGATAGGAGATCTCTGTGAGTTCAAGGTCAGCCTGGTCTACAGAGTGAGTTCCAGGACAGCCAGGGCTAATATGGAGGGACTCTGTCTCAAAATGAATCAATCCATCAGTCAGTCAGGACTGAAGCAATGGTTCAGTGATTGAGAGCACCGACTCTTCTTCCAGAGGACCTGAATTCAATTTCCAGGACGCACATAGCCCCTCACAACCTTTCCTAACTCTGGTTGCAGAGGATCTGACAGTCTCTTCTGACCTCCTCAGGCACCAGAAATGAATGTAGTACACATATATACATGCAGGCAAAACACTCACACACATTAAATAAACAAACATTAAAAAACTAATGTAAAACATTAAATAAAATAACAAAAAAATGAATAAAACTAGGAGAAACTGAGTGTGTTAGGTTTTCTATTGCTGTGACGAAACACCACGAGCAAAAGCAAGCTGGGGAGGAAAGGGCTTATTTGGCTCACACTTCAGCGTTGCTGTTCATCACTGAAGGAAGTCCGGACAGGAACTCAAGCAGGGCAGGATCCTGGAGGCGGGAGCTGATGCAGAGGACACGGAGAAGTGCTGCTTACTGGCTTGCTCTTCCTGGCTTGCTCAGCCTCCTTTTTTATAGAACCCAGGACCACCAGCCCAGAAATGGCACCACCCACCATGGGGTGAGTCCTCCCACATGGATCACTAACTGAGAAAATGCCAAGCCGGGTGGTGGTGGCACATGGGCACACGCCTTTAATCCCAGCACTTGGGAGGCAGAGGCAGGTGGATCTCTGTGAGTTCAAGGCCAGCCTGGCCTACAGAGCAGGATCCAGGACAGGCACTTTGCAAAACTACACAGAGAAACCCTGTCTCAAAAAACAAAAAACAAACAAAAAAAAAAAAAAAAGAAAGAAAGAAAGAAAAGAAAAGAAAATGCCTTACAGCTGGATCTTGTAGAGGCATTTCCTCAGCTGAGGCTCCTTCCTCTCTGAGGACTCTAGCTTGTGGTCAAGTTGACACACACAAAAGCAGACGGGACACTGGTGTGTTGATATATGTTTGTCATCCCAGCACTTGGGAAGTTGAGGCAGAACCGCTAGGAGTCTGAGGTCAGCCTGAGCTACAGAGTAAGGAGCCTGACTCCAAAACACGAAAACAATTCCCTTCCCACAGAATTCAGAAGGCCATAGAGGGGTCTTGAAACCAAAAGGCTCCGTAATTGTCTAGCGGTGGACGGTGGGTCACATGACCTATGCAGAGCTCTTTCTTTCTCTGTGGTCACTGGCCTGCCTTTACTTGGGGTCCCTTGTAACTTCTATGGATGGAACCTGTCAGTCATGCGGAGTGGCAGGTCGGCTCCGCATCTGTTCCCACTCACACAGTGGCTACCTGCATTGGTAAGGTCTCAGACCCGTCCCTAGCCTCACCTCGTGTTGTTGGCGTTGTTTTAAACACACTTACCTTGCAGGCCCAAGAAGGTGGCTTAGAGCAGCGCTAGGGCAGGAAAGATCCGTTTGAGGGAAAGGACGGCTTTCCTCCCACCACGCTTCTCTCTCAGGTGGGAAACGGAGCTAGCTGCCCTCTTCCCTGGACCCCGTCACCACGGCAACACCAATCCAAAGAGACAGGCTACTCCCGGGTCAGGCCCTGCCTCCAGGGACTGCAATCTCCCCTGGTGCGCCCTTCTTTCCTGGGGCTCCCGCAGCTCCCGCCCTGGGCTCCTAGCTGGGCCTTGCACACCGGGAACCTGTCAAATTTAAGTCCGCCGGAGCAACCGGATTCCGAGGAGTGCCGTGTGCGCAGACGACCAGCAGAGGGCGCGAGAGGCCTTAAAGAGAGCCGAGTGGAGGTGGCCGCGGCCTCCAGAATTTGGAGATGGAGAAGGAAGGTTCCCTGGAGAGGTGCCTTATGGACAGAGGACGCCTCGGTGATCTGTGAACACACACCTGGCGCTTAGAACTTCAGCCCGTGCTCCTCTTTCATGTCCCTCGGGCCGCACACCCCCAAAAGACTTTTCTCCCATAGCCAACCCAACTCCCTTTGCGCAAACCCCAGCTCTCCCCAATCCTCCACGTTCCCATCCAAGAGCGAGGCTGGCCTATGAGACCACACAGCACGGAGAATGCTCGGTTACGACCAAGGAAAGCCGACGGCCGAACCTCCAAAGTTAACTTTCCGGGGCGAGCTTCTCCATCCTCACCCCCCACCTCCCCGACCCACCCACCCACCCACCCACCCCTACCCTCGCCGCCCTCTGCAGCCGCGCAATATTTTCCCCAAAGTTTTCCTGGCCCTGGTTCAGGTCCTCTTCGTGGACAGCCGATCCCGGGATCCGCGCCGGGATTTACTGCCCACCAGGAGAAGCGTGTTGGTGTGTGGGGGGGGAGTAGTAGGCAGTATAGGGTCCCTCAAGGGAGGGGGAGGATCCTGGGGGTCCTGGGGGTGCCATAAGCCCGGCACCCCCTCTCTAACTTCTAGCCACCCTACCTCATCTTCTAGAACGGCCTGAAGGAAGGATGTTGGGAGTGAGCGGGAAGTGAGCGGCGGCGCACCGGTGGCAAGGAGCGAGAAAAAGTTTTTGCAAAAGAGAGAGAGAGAGAGAGAGAGAGAGGAAAAAAAAAAAAAAAAGTTTGCGCTTCTCGCGGGTGGTCCCGGCTCGCGGCCCGGCGGGCTGGGCCGGCGGGAGGGCTGGGGGCCAGGTTGGGGGGGTGGGGTGGCACTGAAGTTTACGCTGCAGTGGCCCTGTCGCCCCCCCCTCCCCGCCGCACACCCCCTCCTCCCCCTGCCCAGTTTCCAACCCTGGACCACGCATCCCGAGCCCTGCGCCCCGACGGAGGTGAGAGGGGGGCCGGAGGGGAGACCACCTGGGAGCGATGGGGGAGGGGGCTGCGGAGATGCTCCGACGCCTAGGGGGCTCACCCCGTCCCACGAGGAGCCCTGGGGCGCAGGGGCAGGCTGGGGTGGGAGAGACTGGGGCGAGCGAGGTGTTGGGAAGTTTGGATGTTTTCCTTGTCCTGCTAATTTAATGCGCGCCCCCTTTTCTCCGTGTCTCCCTTTTCTCCTGGCAGTCTGTCTGTCTCGGGTCCCTTTGTCTGCGCCCTCCCACCTCTTAGAAATCTCTCCCTTTCTTGAGGTTGGCATGAAGAGGCTGTTGGGACGGCCAGCTGGAGGTCTGCGCGGTAGAGGGAACCCCAGGTGCGTCCCTGCGCGCCGTTGGAAGACGTCAGTGTGTCCAAGAGGGGGACCCACCGCAAAGGAGGGAGCGCTCGGCGGGGTGGGCACGGCCGTGCCCGAGGGCCGGGCTGGGATTGGACTCTTGACCCGTGTTGTGACAGATGTCCCGGCGGCGGAGGCTTGGGTTTGGGGGCGAAGGAGTGTTTTTGGACCAGGGAGGAAGCTGGGGTGGGTCTCCGAACGTGTCGTGTGTAGGCCTTAGGAAAAATCCCTAGGAAAGTGGTGCTTCTCCGTCCCGAGGACTGCGTGGGCAGGGAGCAGGGGCTGGGGAGACCTTGTCCTGACCCTCTGACCTCAGGACCACCGGGGCAGCTGAAGCCAGGCGCCGGGAGACCCCTGCTGGGGCAGAGCGGGACCACGGGCCACGGGCAGCCTGTGCATCCCGGCTGGCCCCCCGCCCGAACGGGAGCTGGGGACCGAGGCCCCTCCTCTGGCTTGGACCACCCTGCCTGCCCTTGCTCCCCGCTCCGGAGCCTCTTTCAGGCCCCGTGACCCTGAAACAATCAACCCAGGACAGTTAGCTTTGGGGACGGGATCAAGGAGAGGGGACTCCACGGGGGCCGAGGGTGTGGGACGCCTGGGGAACCGGGGACTTGGTGGCATCGGTCTCTCCTTCCAGGGCAGGGAGAAAGATGGGCAGCTTGCTGGGAGAAAAGTTGTTGAGCGCGCGTGATTTTTCCCCAGGGGGCGGGGTCCAGCAGGACCCCCCCCCCATTACCTATCTGGGCATCCCCGCCGGACGGACGTCTCCGACTCGCCCTTGACGTCACTAGGGGGTTCCCGGGGGTCTCTAGGGGTTAACCCTTAGGAAGCCGGCGGCGGAGACAGTCAGGAGCCCAAGGTGTCCTCTCCAATGCACACCTTATTTACTCCGGCGCGTCTTTCTCTGTCGTGTCTGGTTTCTTTCTGTCCCACTCCACTCTAGGGACCCCCACTTTCCAATAGTGCTTCTCCCCCCCCAACCCCCCACCTCGCCCCGGGACACCACTGCCTGCTTTCAGGATGCGCTGAGAGAAGGGAAGAATGTTCCACCCTTCACCACCACCACCACCCCCCCCCCCGCCCTCCCTCGCTTTTCTGGGCTCCCCGGGCGGGCGGGGGAAGCTGAGCCGTCTGCAGCCGGAGCCTGCGGCGGCGACTTGGGTGGGCCGGGAAGGCACGGGGGCGGGGAAGGCGGGACCGGGAGAAGGGGGTGGGGCCGGCTCCTGGGAGTTGGGGAGCAGGGGTACGGATGGGACTCGGGGGGAAAATAGACCCTGGCCACGAATCGGGGCTCTATGGGCAGGGTGATGATTCTGAGTGCTCTCCTGCCCCATCCCGCCCCGAAAACTTCTTCACCGAATCTGCAAAAGCTAGCGACGTCCTTGCTAGTAGGAGAGAGAGAGGGGAAGGCGTGAGCTGGAGGCTGTGGCGCGCGTGGGCGAGGAGGGCTGTCGCCCCGGGTCCACCGGGTCTCCTGGGGGCGGGCCAGGCCATGGGGACCAGAAGATCAGCGTGACACCTTGGAGGGAGCCCCTGGTGTCTGGGGGGTCGTGCGCGAGTCCCCCCTCCCCCTTCCCTTCCCTTGAATGAGTCATAGCGGAGGAGGCAGGAGACGTGCCCCCTCATCCAGCTGCCAGCCAGCTGTGCCCCCCCACCTCCCACCCCCACGTTAGTGCCAAGGTCGAGTTGGGAGGTCTTGGATGCGGGATCCGGGCCCCAGCTGGAGAAGGAGGAGTTAGCATAGGTACGGCCCCGGCCACAGCGCTCGCTTGGGCTGGGTCGCAGGGTCCGGGTTCCGTTCCCCACTCTGGCCCCGCCCTCACCCTAAATCCCAGCAGCATCCCGGGATCACCCACCGCGCCGGGCCGGCCGGCCCGCTCCCGGTGGTTCTCCACCCCACCCCGCCCCACCCCACCCTCCGCTCCTGGAAGGCCGAAAAACGTGGAGTGGAGTGAGAACTGGCTGAGAGGAGGAGAGCTGGACCTCGCGCCAGCCCCTTGCTGTGCTGCTCATCAAGCCCATCCTCAAAGTTCCTTTCCAGTCCCCCCCACCCCCCAGACCCAAAGGGTTAGGTAGGCGCAGGTTCAAACCGCCTCAGAATGACTTGAGCTCCCATCCGTTTTACTCAGCAGACGGGAGATGCTGCTCTGAAGCCTCATTCCCGCCCACACACTGCTCTCTGTCTAAGAGGACAGATCGTTTATGGTCTCTGCTGGCCCCACCAGCTAGTCTGGACTGAAGCGAGGTCTCCCTCTACTGGACACTGGAGAGATTGCATAGGCGCTCTTGGGCGAGCCAGCAGCCCTGGGCATGAAGTCAGACCTTCGGAGCATTTCCCCATCACACCTTCAAAGCGTGTGCCCTGGCCAGAACAAGGGGTGGAGGGACCGTGGCATTAAAATCACCTGGAATTTATGTTAGATCAATTAGTCCGTATCTTTCCCATGTGCATACACAGACCGTGAGGCTTTTACCCAGTTTCCCCAAAAGATCCCGAAGACTTAACAGACCGCTTCTGCCTGCTCTTTGGGATGTTTCTTCCTAACGCTGCGGGATGACATTGTTTTCCACTTGATTCCCTTGACCAGTCTCTGAGAGAGAGGTTAGGGGCCCAGGGGGCTGGCGGCGGTTTCGTGCCCACTGAGACCGACGTTTGTCTTCTGTTCCTCGCCGTCCTTGTAACTTGGCAGATCTGCATCTTCCTGCAGTCTCCCACATCCTTCCCTGAGACACCATGTTCAACTCCATGACTCCACCACAAGTCAATAACTATGGTGAGCCCTGCTGTCTCCGACCCCTCCCCAGCCAAGGGGTCCCCAGCCTGGGGACAGAAGGTGAGTGTGTCTACCAGTCCCTGAGCCTTGAGGACTTAGCACATCTCCCACCTAGCTCCGGGATCCCTTTCCCCCTACCCCACGCTAGTTTGCTATCTACAGGAGGATTTCGAGACCCCATGCCTTGTAGGCTTGGAGTCTGGGATCATAGCCCACGGGGGTCTCAAGGTAAGCCCCGTCTCTCCCCATCCCAACGCCCCACTCCACCTGCCTCTCTTTTCCAGGATGTTCTGGTTTACCCTTTTGCCACCAAGCCAACTTTATGTCAGGGCCCCAGGGTTATGGGTCTGCCAGAGAGACCAGCGGCTGTACCGAGGGTGAGGACCCAGGCAATCTCTCTCCCCTCTCTGCCCCTCGGGGACTTGTTCTGAAGGAGGAGGTGGGAAGGCAAGGACCAGACTCAGTGGAGGAGATGTCCGGAGAGGAAAGGAATCAGAGAACGACCAAGAGGTCCTAGGTAGAGCAAGGCAAAAAAACGTTTTGCTCTTTTGAGTCAGGCCCCACCTACTGAGTGTGCCGAGACATGCACTTTTACTGTATCTTTCTTTTTAATTTTTTTTTATTTTTTTAAAGATTTATTTATTTATTTATTATGTACACAGAAGAGGGCGCCAGATCTCATTACAGATGGTTGTGAGCCACCATGTGGGTGCTGGGAATTGAACTCAGGACCTCTGAAGAGCAGTCGGTGCTCTTAACCTCTGAGCCATCTCTCCAGCCCTAAATTTTATTTTTTAAACAATGTGTGCGCTTGTTTGTCTGTGTGGGTGTGCACATGGGAGTGCTGTGCCCTGAGAGGCCAAAGGTGTGGGGCCTTCCTTGGAGCTGGAGTTATAGGTGCTAATGAGCCGCCTGACGTGGGTGCTGGGAATTGAACTCAGGACCTCTGGAGGAGCAGTCGGTGCTCCTAACCTCTGAGCCATCTCTCCAGCCCCTCTGCTGTATCTTACCTCCTGTCTCCTGCCCTAGGGCCGCTCTTTCCTCCTCCCCGGAGTTCGGTCAAGCTGACAAAGAAGCGAGCCCTCTCCATCTCGCCCCTGTCTGATGCCAGCCTGGACCTACAGACAGTCATCCGCACCTCACCCAGCTCCCTTGTGGCTTTCATCAACTCGCGCTGCACATCTCCAGGAGGCTCCTATGGCCACCTCTCCATTGGCACCATGAGGTGCTGGCAGCCTCACACTAAGGGACCCCTAGAATACGTACTGAAACCCGTTAGAAGACTCCACCCCTTCAAACCTCCAACCCGACTCGACTCCCTAACCCTCCCAAATCACTGGAACCCTTTTCAGAAACTCCCTGGGGCTTACTCAGCCAAGCCTTCCAGAAACCCACAGAATAGAGCGAAGACTCTGATCACCGACGGTCTTAAATAACCGACTCCTCTTCACCTAGCCCATCTCCAGGATTCCCACCCCAGATGAGTCACCAAAAGGGGACTTCGCCATCCTATGGAGTCCAGCCCTGTGTTCCACATGACTCTTCTCGGGGTGCAATGATGCTGCACCCTCAGTCCCGGGGACCGCGTCCGACCTGCCAGGTGGGGCTCTCCACATTGCCGTCCTGCTTGGCTTTCCCAGCTCAGGATAGGTGGGTGGTCGACTTGGCAGCGGGGGCGGGTGAAGGAAGATGGCAGACATAAAAGCCTTTGGTACTGGGAAGGTAGAGGTACAGATGGTAGGTTCACCCTTCCGGGTTGACTCAGGCTCTCCCGGATGAGAGCACCCCCGTTCTTCATCCCGTTCACCAGTGCAGGCTGTGGAGGAAGTCCGTCCACATTCGTGGGGTTCCTGCTATTTGGGTGGGGGCCCCGTAGGGCAGAAGGACCTGGCAAGCTTTTCCTTCTGAGTACTCCATCCTCCTTACCCTCACCTCTTCCCCTGGGGAAGCTGAAGTCGGAGCTGGACATGCTGGTGGGCAAGTGCCCAGAGGAGCCTTTGGAAGGTGACATGTCTAGCCCCAACTCAACAGGCACGCAGGTAAGGGGATGGGCAGGACTTCCTCTGTGGGATCTGAGCAAAACAAAACGGTGCCACCCATGACCCTGAGATTGTCTCCTTTGCCCTAGGATCCCCTGCTGGGGATGCTGGATGGGCGGGAGGACCTGGAGGAGAAACCTGAGCCCGAGTCTGTCTACGAGACTGACTGCCGCTGGGATGGCTGCAGTCAGGAGTTCGATTCCCAGGAGCAGCTGGTGCACGTGAGCCCCAGGGGGTAACAGATGGTTGGTGGGAGCCTGGAGGAGACTGAGTGGGGCATTATGGTCTGTCGGAGGGCAGGAGGTTCAAGGGGGCTGGGGTCAGAGATTGCATGCTCAGCCCTGCAGACCAAAGCTCCGGGTAGCTTTGCTCTAGAGGGCTGGAAGACCTGAGATGTGGGATGTGCCGCCTTCCTGACTCTTACTTTCCCCGAGAGGCAGAGCTGAGGAGGAGGAGGAGGAGGAGGAGGAGGAGGAGGAGGAGGAGGAGGAGGAGGAGGAGGAGGAGAGGGCTGAAGGGGATATGTCGCGGCTTGGGTGGCATCGGGAACCTCGGAAAGCCTCGTCTTCTTCCTCCTCAGCATATCAACAGTGAGCACATCCACGGGGAGCGGAAGGAGTTCGTGTGCCACTGGGGGGGCTGCTCCCGGGAGCTGAGGCCCTTCAAGGCCCAGTACATGCTGGTGGTGCACATGCGCAGACACACGGGCGAGAAGCCGCACAAGTGCACGGTGAGGCGCCCGTCCCTCCCCATACCGGGGCCAAGGTAGGGCCCACGGTAGACTTTTGCCTCCAAAGTCCTTCCTTCGTAAGCGAATGTTTAAAAACCTTGCTGAAGACTGCGGCCGGGCGGTGGTGGCGCACGCCTTTAATCCCAGCACTCGGGAGGCAGAGCCAGGTGGAACTCTGTGAGTTCGAGGCCAGCCTGGACTACCAAGTGAGTTCCAGGAAAGGCGCAAAGCTACACAGAGAAACCCTGTCTCGAAAAAAAAAAAAAAAAAAAAAACAACCTTGCTCAAGACTGCGTTGATAGAAAGAGGAACATAGTGATATGTATTAAAATGTTTTCAGTTGAATTTTGTGGGGTGGGGGCTTGCATTCCAAGGCGTGGATGTGGAGGTCAGGGGGCAACTCGGTTCTCTCCTTCCACCATGTGGGTCCTGAGGAATCAAACTCAGATTGTCAGGCTTGGCCACAGACACCTCTATTCACTGAGCCATCTTGCTGGCCCTAAAATATGTTCTTGGTATGGTGACATGCACCTGTTACCCTAGCACTTGAGAAGCTGAGGCAGGAGGATCAAAAGTTTGAGACTAGGTCTCAAAAAACCAAAAACGCCAGGTGGTGGTGGCACACACCTTTAATCTAGCACCCGGGAGGCAGAGGCAGGTGGATCTCTGTGAGTTTGAGGCCAGCCTGGTCTACAGAGTGAGTTCCAGGACAGGCGCAAAGCTACACAGAGAAACCCTGTCTCGAAAATACAAAAACAAAAACAAGCCTCGCCACATACCCTTAATCCTAGCACTAAAGTGGCAGAGGCAGGCAGATCTCTGTGAGTTCTAGGCCAGCCAGGGCGACCCAATAAAGAAATAGATGGCAGGGACTGGAGAGATGGCTCAGTGGTCAAGAGCACTGGCTGTTTTTCCAGAGGTCCTGAGTTCAATTCCCAGCAACCACATGGTGGCTCACAACCATCTGTAATGAGATCTGGTGCCCTCTTCTGGCCTGCAAGGACACATGCAGGCAGAATACTGTATACATAATAAAGAAATAAATAATCTTTAAAAAAAAAAAAAAGAAATAGATGGCAAAACAAAATTAAGTTTTGGATCAAAAAGTGAATTTTTCCCCTTTGATTTTAAAAGAAATGAAAAGTAGGCCGGGCGGTGGTGGCGCACGCCTTTAATCCCAGCACTCGGGAGGCAGAGACAGGCGGATCTCTGTGAGTTCGAGGCCAGCCTGGGCTACAGAGTGAGTTCCAGGAAAGGCGCAAAGCTACACAGAGAAACCCTGTCTCGAAAAACCAAAAAAAAAAAAAAAAAGAAATGAAAAGTGCTGGGCATGGTGGTGCATAACTTTAATCTCCGCCCTTGGGAGGCAGAGGCAAGCATATCTCTATCAGTTTGAGGCTAGCTTGGTCTACATAGTGAGTTCAAGGCCAGCCAAGATTACACAGTGAGACCCTGTCTCATTAGACCAAAATAATAGCCAGGCATGGTGGCACAAACCTTTAATCCCTGCCCCTCGGGAGGCAGTGGTAGGCAGATCTCTGTGAGTTCGAGGCCAGCCTGGTCTACAAAGTGAGTTCCAGGTCAGTTCGGGCTACACAGAGAAACCCTTTCTCAAAAAACCAAAAATAATAATAAAATAAATGAAAACATATTTCTGGATCCCTCATTGTGGGCTCCCTAGTAGTCTTGCTACCACATTGCTTGTGGATAGGCCCTGCATCATTGCTGAAGGACCCTCATGTAACCTGACCCTCAGCTGACTCAGGCCACTCTAGGCCACTCTAGCTCTGTGCAGGGAGACCTGCTCCAAGAGGCTCCCTGTTCACTGCTGTCCCCTACCCTGAGCGGTCTCCAGCTTCCTCTGCCTTTAGCTCCTCTTCCGCCCTTGTGCCTGACCGAATCCTGGGATTCTCTTAGGTCCCCATGTCCCCCCATTTTTTATTTATGTTCTCTGGTGTGAACCCTTAAATCTCCATGTCCTGTCTGAGAAGTGTTGCTTGACCCTCTCCCGTCCCCCAGTTTGAAGGTTGTAGGAAGTCATACTCACGCCTCGAGAATCTGAAGACGCACCTGCGGTCGCACACAGGGGAGAAGCCCTACATGTGTGAGCACGAGGGCTGCAGCAAGGCCTTCAGCAACGCCAGCGACCGCGCCAAGCACCAGAATCGGACTCACTCCAACGAGGTGAATGCCCCAACTACCAGACTCTTCCCAAGGGAGACGCTACCTCCTAAGCGTGTGCCCCTGTGAAGAGCCCCGTAACCCAGGACTCACTCCAGCAGGGAGTTCCCTTCCATGTAATTCATACAGGAAACACTTTTCTGAAAATAAGAATTTTTTCCTTGCCACTCTTTGGTCTAGCCATCCAAAGGTCAGTGTAAAGTAGACCCTTGACCCCTTCAACTTCTGAATGTATGCGGCCTCACAGCCTGGGCGGGGGGTGGGGGGTGTCACCTCTTTTTTTCATAGGCCTGCATCATCCATTTTTTAAATCTTTTTTGTTTGTTTGTTTGTTTTAAAGATTTATTTATTATGTATACAGTGTATTCTACTTATACTTATTCCTGCAGACCAGAAGAGGGCGCCAGATCTCATTACAGATGGTTGTGAGCCACCATGTGGTTGCTGGGAATTGAACTCAGGACCTCTGGAAGAGCAGCCAGTGCTCTTAACCTCTGAGCCATCTCTCCAGCCCTGTTTTTTTGTTTTTCGAGACAAGGTTTCTCTGTGTAGTTTTGGTGCCTGGCCTGGATCTTGTTCTGTAGACCAGGCTGGCCTCGAACTCTCAGAGATCCGCCTGGCTCTGCCTCCGGAGTGCTGGGACTAAAGGCTTGCGCCACCACCACCACCCGGCCTGTTTTTTAAGTCTTTCTGTAAGCCTCTCATGATTTACTCCACCCGAGGGTTCATGCTGCCCTTACTTCCTCGAAGCCTGTGTATCCTCCCTCACCCACCCATCTCGTAGCTTTTCCCATTCTGTTTGTGTTCTTCTGCCTTGAACCCTGGGCCTTGCGGCTTGGCGACTCTACTCCACAGAAGCCGTATGTGTGCAAGCTCCCTGGCTGCACCAAGCGCTACACAGATCCCAGCTCACTCCGCAAACACGTCAAGACAGTGCACGGTCCTGATGCCCACGTGACCAAGCGGCATCGAGGCGACGGCCCCTTGCCACGGGCACCGTCCCTCTCCACGGTGGAGCCCAAGAGAGAGAGGGAAGGGGGATCCATCAGGGAAGAGAGCAGATTGACTGTGCCCGAGGGTGCCATGGTGAGCCACCTGGGAAGTCTTGCCTCCACACCCTGCCGTGCCCTCCTGACCTCTTTCTAGCCTTTTCCTAGAAGCGTCCCCTCCTATATGCAGTCTGCTGTGGCCAGCCTGCCTGTCTTTAGTTTTAGTGTTGCTCCGTGGCTGACCCCAGATCTAAGGATGATGTAATAATTATTAGTTGTTTAATTGGTCCAACACATTCACTTTGCGCGGGGTGGGGGTGGGGTGGGGTGGTGGTGTTTCTTGGACTATGAACACATGGTAGGCAAATGCTCCCCGACTCAGCAGATCTTCGGCCCCCTAGGGACTCTCTCTTAAATAGCACTTAGCTCTAGAGTTCCGAGCCTTAGGCGTGCATATTTCGTGTATTCTTCAAGGGAGGGAATAGGCAAAGGTGACTTGTCAGGGTCACAGGACTAAGCAGGAATGGAGCCCTGGGAGTCTGCACCCCAGCAGGGACCCTTCCGTTTTCTTCTACTTCACCCTAACCTCTTGCCGGCTTAGTCCTCTCTACCCTTGCCTGCCTGTCCTCAGCCCTTGCAATCCCTGGGACGCAGGCCTCAGCCACTCCCCGAGAGGGAGTCGGGGAGGGCGCCACCCTCCACTCTCATCCCCTCCACAGAAGCCACAGCAGAGCCCTGGGGCGCAGTCCTCCTGCAGCAGCGGCCACTCCCCGGCAGGCAGCGCGGCCAACACCGACAGCGGGGTAGAAATGACGGGCAACGCGGGGGGCAGCACCGAGGACCTGTCCAGCCTGGATGAGGGCCCTTGCGTTGCGGGCGCTGGACTTTCCACTCTTCACCGCCTGGAGAACCTCAGGCTGGATCAGCTGCATCAACTCCGGCCAATGGGATCCCGGGGTCTCAAACTGCCCAGCTTAACCCACGCTGGTGAGACCTGGGTGTGGGAGGTGCGGCTCAGCTCAGCTGCGGATCTGTCCTGAAGCTGAGGTGGCGAGGTCACCCTGGAGTGGCCACACCGCATCTTTGCATCATCTGAGAAATAGTCCCCTTCCTTGAAGATGTTTTTCCTTCCATCGATCAGAAAATTATATATCTAGGCGGTTGTACACCTGTCGTCCCACCACTGTGGAGACTGGGGCAGCAAGAGTGTACAATATGAAAAACCAAAAAAAAGTTGCTGGGTGGTGGTGGCGGTGGTGGCGGTGGTGGCGCACGCCTTTAATCCCAGCACTCGGGAGGCAGAGGCAGGCGGATCTCTGTGAGTTCGAGGCCAGCCTGGGCTACAGAGAGAGTTCCAGGAAAAGGCGCAAAGCTACACAGAGAAACTCTGTCTCGAAAAACAACAAAACAAAACAAGAGCGTTCAATACATCCATGATATGCTATCCCTGTAACTGTGTAGCAGTGTATGAAACTAACTGCCTGGAATCCTTGGGGAAGCAGAAAAAGAATAAATGTGGGGAAAGGAGACTGCATAGTTAGGGCGAAGAAGCCTGGGACTCCTTACTTTGGGGTTCCGGGTCAGGGCAGAGTGGGACCCACAGGGGCTCCCTACCACCTGCCTTTTCTCTGTCCTCCGCAGGCACACCCGTGTCGCGCCGCCTGGGCCCCCCAGGCTCCCTGGACCACCGCAGCCCCAGCTCCAGCAGCATCAGTTCCGCTTACACCGTCAGCCGCCGCTCCTCCCTGGCCTCCCCTTTCCCTCCTGGATCCCCACCAGACAACGGGGCGTCCTCCCTACCCGGCCTCACACCTGCCCAGCACTACATGCTCCGCGCCAGATACGCCGCCGCCACTGCGTCAGCCCGGGGGAGCGGCACCCCGCCCACCGCAGCGCACGGCCTGGACCGCATGGGGGCTCTCCCTGTACCTCCTTGGAGAAGCCGAGCCGAGTACCCAGGGTACCACCCCAACGCAGGGGTCACCCGGAGGGCCAGTGACCCAGCCCGGACTGCCGACCACCCTGCCCCAGCCAGGGTCCAACGGTTCAAGAGCCTGGGATGTGTCCACACGCCCCCTGGTGTGGCGACAGGACGGAGCTTCGATCCCCACCTCCCTACCTCTGTCTATTCGCCACAGCCCCCCAGCATCACCGAAAATGTTGCTATGGATACCAGAGGGCTACAGGAGGAGCCGGAAGTTGGAACTTCCGTGATGGGCAACGGTCTGAACCCATACATGGACTTCTCATCGGCTGATAGTCTGGGATACGGGGGACCCGAGGGAATGGCCGCTGGGCCTTATGGAGCGAGGGGTCCAGGTTCCCTGCCTCCCGGGACTGGTTCGCTGGCCAACTATGGCCCTAGCCACTGTGCCCAGCAGGGCTCCTATCCTGACCCCACCCCGGAAACATGGAGTGAGTTTCCTTCCCATTCTGGGATGTATCCCGGCACTAAGGCTCCAAGTGGAGCCTATAGCCAGTGTCCTCGACTTGAACATTATGGACAAGTGCAGGTTAAACCAGAACAAGGGTGCCCCGTGGGGTCCAACTCCACCGGACTGGCACCCTGCCTCAACGCCCACCCCAGTGAGGGGTCTCCAGGCCCACAACCTCCATTTTCCCATTATCCCCAACCCCCTCCTCCCCAGTATCCCCAGTCGGGTCCCTATCCTCGGTCTTCCCATGATTATCTTCCGTCAGAACACAGGCCTGGCCTCAGTTTTGACTCCCTCTCTCATTCCACAGGACAGCTCAAAGCTCAGCTTGTGTGTAATTACGTTCAGTCCCAGCAGGAGTTGCTGTGCGAGGGTAAGGGCCGGGGAGGGTTCCCCGACCAGGAACTTCTCTATCAGGGCTCCAAGTTTCTGGGGGGTTCCCAAGCTCATCAAAGCCCTGCCAAAGGGCCAGCAGCTACCTATGGATCTGGCTTTGCACCTGCTTTGGCCAATCACAAGTCAGGCTCCTTTCCCACCCCTTCACCGTGCCAAGAGACCTTTGCAGTGGGGGCGAACCGGCCTTCCCATAGGCCAGCAGCAGCACCACCCCGGCTTCTGCCTCCACTGCCCTCTTGCTATGGACCCCTCAAGGTGGGGGGCACCAACCCCAGTTGTGGACATCCTGAAGTGGGCAGGTTGGGCGCAGGCCCCGCCTTGTACCCTCCCCCTGAAGGGCAGGTGTCCAACCCTTTGGACTCTCTTGACCTGGACAGCACTCAGCTGGACTTCGTGGCTATTCTGGATGAGGCCCAGGGGCTGAGTCCTCCTCCTTCCCATGAGCAAGGGGACAGCTCTAAAAATACCCCACCTCCCTCTGGACCTCCCAACATGGCAGTGGGTAACATGAGTGTCCTGCTGGGGTCTCTGCCCGGAGAGACCCAATTCCTCAACTCTAGTGCCTGAAAGGATAAGGAATCCCAACCAGGTCATGTTTCCTAGATGGCTACATGAGGTGCCCAGGGATGGAAGGTTTGGGCTGGGGACTGTATTTAGTCTATGTATGTTCCAGAGAAAAACCTTTAATAATGACAGTTTCCTGACAATAAAGGAATGCTGAGAATAAGTGCCTGATCCGTCAACTTGGGGAGAGTGGAAGTGGGCTCATACACCTTCCTCTTCAGAAAACTCCCACATCTAATAGCTCAAGTGAGACTCAGGACGTGGAAGAGTGTCCTCTGGGAGAGAGTTGACGGGATGTCTTCAAAAGAAGACCTGCCATCCCTCTCAGGAAACCAGCGGGCAAACGGCAGGAGACGTCTTCCTTTTTCTCGCCCAAGTCAGGTGAAGAGGCTAGCAAAGTTGTTGAGCATCAGTTGGATGAGCTGTCCAGGGTAGAACACGTGGGCTGTCATGTCAGAGGTCTCCTGCTCAGGTCGGAACAGCGTTGGTCCAAACACAATTCCCAGGTTGTGGGCAGTCATTCGGTTCTTGTCTGCGTGTGCAATCACCCTGAGGACAAAGCCAAGGGAAGGGGAGATAGGCAACAGCCACCCACTGCAAACCAGTATAGCTCCATCAGGTCTGAGCAGGGCAGAGACCACTCTGGGATCCCTCCACGTGCTGGCCAAAGGAACCTAGTACAGACTCAAAGAGGACCAGGGACGGGCCAGTGGAGAAACCTTCAGGGTACAATCTGGAGGCACAAGTCCGTTAGAATTGCTTGGTTCTCAGCTCCAGGGACAACGCCTAGAGTCCTCTCACAAAGTGGGAGGCTCAGCTAAACGAGCCGCCCTGCCCCGCGGGAGACTACAGCCAGGGAAGGGAGAGAGGATTCTCTTATTTCTCTCACAGCGTTCCTGGTCCCCCAGGGGATGCTCAGCTAGCCACAGGCTTGGACACATGTCGGTGTGCCCCACCTCCATGCTGCCTGATCAGAGTCCCCACAGACCGCCCACTCCAGCCTCCCCAGCACCATGAGGCTGTTGAGTCTTCCTGACCTGCACAAATGCTCCAGGATGTACTGCAGTGTGTCATGGTTGGGCTTCGGCAACAACTCCACTAGCTTCTTTATTTCCGCGAGACACTGCTCTGGCTCAGAAAGTTCTAGAGAGCGACAGAAAGGACAGGAGAGGGAGGTCAGGGGGAGCGATACCGCTGGGTGGGCAAACTCCCTCTTTCCCACGTCCATGAACTACCGGTATCATTTGCCCAGCGCTCTCCCCTCCCACTTTGGTACAAGAGATTCACCCAGGGCCTTGCATATGATAAGCACCCGATTTACTGCTGAGCCAGAGCCCTCCACTTTTTTTGTTTTTTAGACAGCGTTTCTCTGTGTAGTTTTGGTGCCTTTCCTGGAACTCACTCTGTAGCCCAGGCTGGCCTCGAACTCACAGAGATCCTCCTACCTCTGCCTCCCGAACGCTGGGATTAAAGGTGTGTGCCGCCACCACCCGGCACCCCTCCACCCTTTGACACAGCTCAACAGCAACTTTCAGAATTCTTTCCAGCTCAGCCCTCTAAACATTCACACACACACACACACACACACACACACACACACACACACACACACACACCCCAAACAACTAGAACTGGCATGTGAATTATCCTCCATCCTTGTAAATAAAGATGGAAGGGACCCTCTGTGTCAGGAGTACTGTACTCTTGACCCTTACCGAGGGTGCCACGAAAGTGTGGCAGCAGCGGCGGGGGCACCAGAGGCTGCGGCAGCTCCCGGAAAAAGAGCTTCAAGGCCCCGGTGACCACATGGATGTCATCCCATTCGGCGCTGTCTAGATCTAATTTGCCTTCTAGGAGGAAAAAGAGGTTCCTTGGGTTGAAGGCTCAGAAGAGACAGAGAGACCCAGACTCAATGGTCAGGAATTGGGGGGGACATCTGGTTAAGAAGGTGGTGATGGTCCACAGTAGGGCGACAAAGGAGAGGATGACGGGACAGCCTTTGTAGGGGCGGGGCGCGGGCCTTGGGGGCGGGGCGGGGCGTGGGCCGTGGGGGCGGGGCGTGGGGGGGGTCCGTGGAGCACAAAGAGAGCATGTCAGTCAATTTCTTGAGCGTCTGAGGGGCCTCCCGGGTGAGTACCTTGTCCTGGCTGTTCTGGGAACATGTATCTCCCATCAGAGGTCACTGCCCGCTCTGAAACATGCATGAGGAGAGACCCGCAGCTGAGACACGCAGTTCCGGTTCCCTCACTCAGAACCTCTCTGGGCTCCGAGGTGCCGGGTTCTTAGACCCCTTGCTTCCTCCCAGGTCCTCTCACCTCTGTCTACCAGGAAGCGAAGCTTCTGGACCACCGCCAGGTTCCCACTCACCCGGTAGATGCCGTCCACATCCAGACCTAGGAGGCGAGGCACAGGGAAGGTGACGCTCTAACAGTGTGTGTGTGAGAGGGGTCTGGGGGAGAAAGGGGTCCCTAGGAAGGCAGAGACGGGGCGAGGGGACCCCAGGGCTTCAAAGGGGAGGTTTTTTTTGGAGTCTTTGGAGAAAACCACCTTTTTTATCCACAGCCTCAACACAAAGCCGGACAAAGCTGGGTACGGTGTCCCCTTCCCTTTGGCACAGCGACTCCAACTGGCAACCGAACACTTGGTCTGCAGAGCAAATGAAGGGGGAGATTATCAGTAAGGTCTCCAGTACCCACGTAAGACAGGGCCTGCTGCCCCGTGGGGGTACGGACCGGCTCTCTGCTCCTCCAGTAATGAGGAGTATGGGAAAACAGATGTCAGTAGGGTTCTAACTGGTTCTGGTTAATGCTAAGATTAGGAATATGAAAGATTCTGAGAACACACCTATCAGTTCTGGCATGGTGCTTTTTTTCCCCCCAGAGAGGGTCTCTCTGGGTAGCCCTGGCTGTCCTAGAACTCTCCTGGTAGACTAGGCTGGCCTCGAACTCCGAGATCCACCTGAGTGCTGGGATTAGAGGTGTCGCCACCATCCAGCGTGATGCCTCTTACCTGTAATCCCAGCAACACTTAGGGGGCTGAGGCAGGAGGATTGCCCACGGTTGAGGGAAACCCTGGGATGGATACTGAGAGTATGTTTCAACCATAATAAAATCCGAAAACCACAATCTACACAAAACAAAAGACACTAGATCCAGCCCAGCCTACCCCGGAACAGGCCCCGCTCCTGGAGGCTCTGCAAGGTCGGTCTCTTGGCGATCAGCCGCTTCAACTTGTTCCGCACGCGGTTCTTCTGCTCGGTGCCCTCGGCACACCGACCTGCCCAAACCCGGGAGCGGTGGGAGGTGAGCGCGAGCGGAAGGACGGACCCCTTCCCTGCACCCCAGCCCGGCCGGCTCCGTCCCACTCCCTACTGGAAATCCTTCGGCTGCTGAGCCGGATCAGCGGTTTGGACACCGGCTCCGACTCCAGCTCGTCATCCTCCCCGGCGCTCAGCTCCGCCAGCTCGGCCGGTCCCGAGCCCGACAGACGCAGCTCCAGGGGGTTCTCTCGATCCTAGGCCCCGGCGGCGGGCGGGAGACGGGGAGGGAGAGCATCCGCAACCTCCACATTCCAGCCGGGGCCAAGGTCTGGGCTCCACGCACCCCGAGGCCGCCCGGCTCCCCGCCCCCCAGCCCCTCCCCGCCCCCTCGGCCCACGCGGGTCCCCCTTTCCCGGGATGCCTTCGGGGGGCGGGGGGTGTCTGCACCCTCCTCACCAGGCGCTCGATGACGGCTCGCAGCGCGCGGTGCCAGGCTCGCAGCTCGGGCTCCTCGTCCGACTGCAGCAGGAACTCATGGCCCGGGACCGTCCGGATCTGGGGGGTGGGGGTGGGTCGGGCGGGGCGGGGCTGGCGTCAGCGGGGACGAGCGCCCTCGTGGCCCCCCCGGCCCGCCCGCCCCGTCCCCCGAGTCCCTTTGGGGACGCGCGGCAGGGCGCTCACGTGCAGCACGTTGCGGCGGCTGGACAGGTGGCGCCCGTTAGCCAGGGCCGCCCCGCGCAGGTCCACGCTGCTCTCCGGCCGGCTCCCAGCTGGCGCCTGGCCAGGACGGGAGAAACTGAGGCCAAGAGCTGGTGTCCCCACCGCTTCCCTCTCGGGAGGGAGGAGTGGGGTGAGCTGCTTCCCCTTTCCTTTACCTTACTCTCCATTTCCTTCCTCGCCGCCCCCCCACCTCGGTCGGCCTTGACGCACCAACCAGTAACCCCCAAACCCTTGCTGCTCCCCCCTTGGCCGATGCTCACCCAGCTTTGGGAGGGCGCAGACTGCGGCGGCCGCTCTCGGTAGAACACAAGGCTGTTGCCAGTTAACACCACCCAAGCCGGGCCCCAGTTCTTCCTGTGGGGGGAGGGGAGGAGCGAGGTAGCTAAAAGGTCATTTTAGAACGTCACCTGGGGTGCCTGAGCTCCCCGGCGCCGCCCTCCCCGTCGCTTTCTACCCTGTGAAATGCAACAGCCCAGACCCCTGGCATGTTCTGCGTCCTCACCTGAGTTTACGGCCTCCTTGAGCAATCTTGGTCATATTGATCAGGCCTGACTTTTCCTCCTGGGAAAGGTATGGAGTATTGTCTGTCAGCCGCCCCGCGCCACCCCCAGCCGCCAAGGGTTCTCTCTAAGGGGTGAGGTCCGTTCAAGTTTGGGGGTCGGGGAGACTGGAGAAGAGCAAGCATCCAGAAAGAAGAAGATGCTTTCCAGGAGCAGGAGTCAGGGTGGTGGAGCAGAGAGGATCTTGGCACTCCGAGACAGGAAAGACTCACATGGGGGTCATCCAGGTGTGGCAGACCGGGGCAGGACTGCAAGGCTGTCGGCTGGTCTGAGAGGTCTTCCCAGGGGCCGCTTCGGCTGAGGCTTGGTAAACCCTGAGGATGGGGAATTGAGACAGGTAGAGGGACCTTCAACCTGGAGGTCCTAGGTCGCAAGAGGAAGAGGGGTGTGGCTGTGGGCGAGGGCGATGCTACAGTGGGTAGTGAAGAAGTCTTACATAAGGAGAAAGTCATAAAAAGGTAACGGGGAGTGTTCTCACCTGTGGATCAAGCCATTCCTGAGGTTGTAGGGCACCAACGTCCCTAATCAGAGTCTCTGTCTGTTCCATGGAGCCAGGTTTCTGGGTGTAGGGGGAGACAAAGCAACATCCAGATGGACCCTAACAGTTCAACACTTCTCACGGTGTTCTCAATGTAACCGTGGCACAGGAGCAGCATCCAGAGGGGGGAATCAATCGTTACAGGGGTTGTTAGTTATGGCTGAAGCCTGGGTCGTGGCCGCCTAGCAATCTAAGCTTTGCTACTTGTCCCCAATAACCAATCGAAGAGGCAATGTTCTAGGGCAGAGAACAGTTTTTCCGGGACTGGATAGGTGGTCCTTCGGTTAACAGCACTGGGTGCCTTCTGGAGGGGCCAGGAGATGGGGGGTGGGGTGCGGTTGGATTTTCAGCATCCTCATTAGGGCTAAAAACTCCAGTTCCTGGAGATCCGACACCCTCTTCTGGTCTCTGTGGACACTGCATGCATGTTGTACACACGCATACATGCTGGCTGGCAAAACACCCATACACACAAATTTATGCATTCAGTGTGGCCACACTGAGAAGTGGATCAGTCATATAAACAGATCCAATGATCCCCAATGCTGCTTTTGGGGTCTAACATGCGGTTTAGGTTTGAATAGAGGGCAAGAGATAATCATAAAGCCAGGCATGGTGGCACACCCCTTTAATCTCAGCACTGGGAGTCCCTGTGAGTTCGAGGCCAGCCTGGCCTACAGAGTTCCAGGGCAGCTAGAGACCCTGCCTGGGGTGAGGAGGGGGTAATCGTGACTGAGCAGTGAGGTCCTCGCCTCTCTTTGTCTCTGCTGCAGGAGGACCTGCCTGACGAGTTATGAGAACAGTGTGAACTGCCCTCCTCTTGGGAGACAAGTTCCTTCTCTGGCTGATATCAGGACCGCAGCTTTTTACTTCCCCGGCCTAAGACTCCTGGGGCAATTCTAATTCCTTGGGGTCCATGTCTCGATGGTCTGATAGCTGAAGGTAGAGACACAGCCTTTCTCTTTAGAATTCTGTCCTGTCTGAAGATGCTCCCAGGCATCCAGCCTGGGGGGACGGGGGGGGGGGGGGACGGGGGGATGGGAGGGGATGCAAGGTCTTCGGGACAGGGACCCTGGACATGGAGAAGGCCAACCAGATTACAATACACAGGGAGCTCTGGCAGGAGGGGCTGGGATCCTGCCTGCCAGGGAAATGGGGAAGGTGGAGGTGGTTGTTCTGCCCCCCCATTCCCCCCCTCCCCGTTCCTCCCAAATCCCCCATTTACTCACCGTCAGCTCCGGGCCAGGGTGACCCTGGTACGGGGTAGAAACCCCAGTCCCCGGCTGCTTTTTAAAAATTCTCCTCACAGTCTTCTTTGCTCTTCTCCTCACTTCCTGTTGCCAACTTCCCTCCTCCCCCACGCAACCCCGCCCCAGGGCTGCAGGAAAGGGGAACAGGCTTTTGGGGGGAGGGGGGGTGGGGAAGAGAGAGTGCCCCTTCCTCACATCATTCCCAGGAAAGGACAACACCAAGAAGTGAGAGGCCACTCTAAGGCCAGGGGCGTAGAAGAGGAAGGACCGTTTTCTTATCCACAGGAGACAGAGGAGAGGGAGCCAGGCTTGCTTGTAATCTCAGCACTTGGGAGGCTGAGGCAGGAGGATTATAGGAGTTGGAGGTCATCTGGGCTACCTAAGGAGTCCAGCTCAGCTGGGCCGCTACAGAGTGAGACCCCTGGCTCAAAATGCAACTGATGGGGGGGGGGGGAGCAAGGGAGTTACAACTTAAGAGGGAACTTGCTGGTGTCCTGACTTGAAGACAGGACAGAGGACAAACCTTGCCCTGGGCTAGGAGTCAGAACCAGAGAAAAAGCAGTCTGTGGGCCGGTCCTTCCTCCTGTTCCGCTGGACTCCCATCCCCTCAGGGCCTGTGTGACAGGCTGTCCTCTCATCCCCTATTGGCTTATGGCCATTCTTCCTGTCTGCCTCGGCCTCCTCAAGGGATTTGTCTGATTTGTCTGCCGTATTGTATTGTCTGTCACCCTCTCCCAGCCTCAGTCCTTCAAGGGAGGGAAGCTGTCTGGTCTCTTTACCACTGTGCCCAGAACAGGGCCGTCTGCCATGTAGCTGACAGAGCACACTCTGATGAAGATCTGGAACTCACCGTATCGGCCCTGGCCTCTGTCATGGAGCCTTCCTGGGAGAGAGCTCTTCCTCTCGGCCCTTCCTTGAGGGCTTTCAGGAAGCAGGGCTTCAAACTGGCCATGCTGACGCTTCTGCACATTTTGTGGGGACAGGGAGGAGGCTGCTCGGAAGTAACCTGGGGTTCCTGAGGCAGGTAGAGCTCCTCCAGGGAGCCACGAAACAGCTTTGTCCCTGGAAAGAGAGACAGGGAGGAGTGGCAGGTGATGGCAGATTAGGGCCGTGGCTGCAGGAAATGGCTTGAGACCTAGACAGCTTAGAGCTGGAGGGGGTAGAGGGGGGCACCACCGGGTGTGTGTGAGAACAGCGGGGCTTAGCAAAGCAAAGCAAGACAAGGGGTGGGCAGAAGAGAGAGGCAAGCCCACTCGGCAACTCTCTCAAGCCAGGGAAGGTGAAAGGGAAAAAAGCTTGCAGTTTACTCACGGGATGCATTGTGGGTAGCCTCTGCAGGTCTCGGGCAGGAGAGTGATTCCTCGGTCATGTAGGCAGCTGGAACAAAGATGGGCCGGGAGCTGGGGGACCCTCCGAGGCGCCTCGCCAGCCACCAGTCTGAGTTGGTCTTTCGGAGCAGTCGGAACCTGTCACCTTCAGCCAGAGACACCTGGCGGCCATCCGCCCCAGTATACGTGAAGGGATAGAGGACACAGAGCTGGGGTCCCTGAGAAGGGCTTTGTAGGCTCAGTCCCAGATTGCCCCAAATACTTGGCCACCACCGGCCCGAGAGCATCGTGGCCACCACTGTCACCTGTGGGAGAAAGGGGTGGTGAAGTTCCAGAAGGAAGTAGGAGCGGGTGCCTCCATGCCGAGGGACATGGCTCCAAGAGTGTGTGTGTGTTGGGTGAGTGAGGACAGGACCCTTGGAGTGAAAAGGAAGGGGTAAACAGAAGCCCCGAATGGGAGATCTGCACAGGTTTGGGGGCTGAGAACTCCTGTGTGACGTGTCTGATGAGGAAGTGTATAAATAAGGTGAGAGAGGATGTGGTCAGCAGGCCTACATGGCTGGCGAGGCAGGAAATCAGAAAAGATGACCGAGCTTGGTAATTTTTTCCTTTAAATGCCTTGCGGAGGTCACCTGAAGTTCCAGGGGCAGAAAGGGTGGGTCCCAGGTGCTTTGGGGAGTCTTGAGCTGGGCACCGAAAGACCACGAGGAAGAAGAATCAGGCTGAGAGAGGAACAGAGACGAAAGTACAAGAGGTGATGACTATTCAAAGGTTCTGACTTACGAACCTTTATTAAGTTTGCACAGACCTCAGTGTTTCCGTGACCAACTGCCTCAGACTTAAACCTTTGTGTTTCCTGTGCAGACAGGCAATAAACAGCAAGAAACAGTGAGAGGGAAAGAGAGAGGGACTGAGAGAGAGAGAGAGAGAGAGAGAGAGAGAGAGAGAGAGAGAGAGAGAGAGAGGGTTCACATCACCTTCAAGCTTATCTAGGACACACCCTCCTCTGCATCAGCCTTCTGGAGGGTCCCCAGGGTTATTGTGGAGCTCTGTTCATCTGCATTTTTGTGTCACGCGTATGAGTATTTTGTCTGCCTGTCTGTCTGTGCACCACCACCTGAATGTCTGGTGCTTGAGGAGTCCAGGAGAGGGTGTCGGATCCCCCGGATCTGGGGGTTCAGGCAGTTGCGAGCTGTCATGTAGGTGCTGGGAACTGAACCCCGGGTCCTCTGGAAGGATAGCCAGTGCTCTTAACTGTGGAACCATCTTCCTAGCCCCTTTATTTTATTTTTTTTTTTTTTGGTTTTTCGAGACAGGGTTTCTCTGTGTAGCTTTGCGCCTCTCCTGGAACTCACTTGGCAGCCCAGGCTGGCCTCGAACTCACAGAGATCCGCCTGGCTCTGCCTCCCGAGTGCTGGGATTAAAGGCGTGCGCCACCACCGCCCAGCCCCTAGCCCCTTTATTTACACTCTTAACTAGAACTGATTGGCACCTCCTCCTGAGTGGAAGTAGCTCTCAGGAGCTACAAATGACAGGAAGGAATGAGCTCCGTGAGTAGCTTGAGGAGGGACAGACCTCGTCACACAGTGAGCTTTACCACTGAACTGGAGACTATGCGATGTGATCCAAGATGTCAGGACACACTGGGTGTGGTGGCACAAATCCCAGGAGGCAGAGGCAAGTGGATCTCTATGAGTTCGAGGCCAGCCTGGTCTACATAGGGAGTTGCAGAACAGCCAGAGCTACATAGTGAGACCCTATCTCAGAAAAAAAGAAAAAGAAAAAAAGAAAAAGCATGGCAGGTTGGATGGAGTCTGACATCAGCTTCTCCCTAGGGGACAGTGGGACTGACTGGTTTGAGATTGCCATCAGTTAAAACCTACACGTCTCATTTTTTTTTCCCAAGGCAGGGTTTCTCTGTGTAGCTCTGGCTGTCCACCCATGGACCACCATACCTGGCTTCATTGACTTTTTCTTTTTGCCAGGCAGTGGTGGCGCATGCCTTTGACTCCAGCACTTGGAAGGCAGAGGTAATCAGATCTTCGAGAGTTTGAGGCCAGCCTGATCTAGAGAGTGAGTTCCAGGACAGTCAGGGATACACGGAGAAACCCCATGGAGGCCAGAAGAGGATGCCAGATGACCCGGAACCGAGTTACAGACGGTTGTGAGCTGCCACGGGGGTGCTGGGAACCAAACCTGGGTCCTCTGCAAGAGCAGCCAGTGCTCTTAACTGCTGACTTCTATCCACTTTGAAACTTTTCCACGTCTCCTCTTTATAAACATTTCCTTCCACAAGGCTCCCAAGTTACCAGTCACCCTCCAGAAGTGGGGGTTCACACCTGTAAAGGTCAGCATTTGAGAAGTCGAGAGGAGCATAGAGCTGAAGGCCGGCCAGTCCGAGCTGTTTAGTCGAAGCTTGGCTCGAGGTACAAAGCAATGCAAACCTGTCTCACCATCCCGCCTCGGTCTCCTTTTCTTCCCCCCTTCTTCGAACCTCTTGAAGTTGACTACACAAAGCAATCTTTATTTCCTCTCCCCTCACTTCTCTTTTCCAGGATACCCCACTCCTCACAGACGCTTCCCGAGTTGTTTGACATTTCCGTGGCACGCGACTCTTTCCCCTGTTCCCTTCTGGCAGTTGCTTCTCTGTGGCATAAGGGAGACTCTTCCTCTGCCTGTTCCTTAAACCACAAAAACCCATCTGAGCTGTGACCTTTGCACTTTGCATACGCCCCCTCAGTGAGCTTACTCTCTCAAAAGGCCGATGTAGTACCCTGCTAAGCACTCTATCTCCAGTCCAGATCTTTCTCTGGAGCTCTGGTCTTAGCCGCCGTCCACCAAAGAATGCCACAAGTCTTTCAGAGGTGCGACAAATTCAGCATGTACCAAAGTGAACATGTCTACCTTCCCTACAAATCCTTTTTTTCTTTCAGAACCAGCATTCAGCTGCTAGACTTAAATCCAATAAATATCTATTGAAGCCTTGTCAACACTTAGACTAGGCAGGACCGTGGCGATTATGATGATAAATTCGGGCCAGTGCCCTCTCTTACAATTAAAATGCACCGTGATAAGAATCATTGTGGTAGAGGAAGTACTAGCAACTGCTGGAAAAGCATGTGCCCAGTTGTGCATGCCAGACGCCCAGCAGCTTCTTGTCTGTTTCCTCACCACTCATATCCATCGACTGATTATCAAATACTGAAATTTGTATTTTTCTAGATCTCCTCCCCCGCTCCGCTGGTGACTGAATCCAGGGCCTCCTGTATAGCAAACAAGACTTTTACTACTGAGCTACATTCTGGTCCTCATATTTCTTTTATTTTTTAAAGAGAGGGTCTCGCTGTGTAGCCCTGGCTAGCCTGGAACTCATATGTTGATCAGGCTGGCCTCAAACTCACAGAAATCTGCCTGCCTCTGCCTCTGAGTGCTGGGATTAAAGCCATGACACCAGCCCTTGGGTTTTTTTTTTTTGGTTTTTCGAGACAGGGTTTCTCTGTGTAGCTTTGCGCCTTTCCTGGGACTCACTTGGTAGCCCAGGCTGGCCTCGAACTCACAGAGATCCGCCTGGCTCTGCCTCCCGAGTGCTGGGATTAAAGGCGTGCGCCACCATGTGGTTGCTGGGAATTGAACTCAGGACCTCTGGAAGAGCAGTCGGTACTCTTAACCTCTGAGCCATCTCTCCAGCCCTTGGGTTTTTGAAAGGGGTTTGGCTATCTGGCTCACAATGTTGTGCAACTCACTGTATAGCTGGACCCAAGCTCTGGAACTTGCCCTCCAGATCTTTGTGAGTTCAAGGCCAGCCTGGTCTACAGAGTGAGTTCCAGGACAGCCAGAGCTATTACACAGAGAAACTCCGTCTTGAAAAACTAAACAAAACATTATTTTAGGGCTGAAGAGATGGCTCAGCAGTTAAGAGCATTGGCTGTTCAGTTCATACAAGGCGGCTCATCACCACCCTTTGTAACTCCAATTCTAGGGAATCCAACACCCTCTTCTGGCCTCTGTAGGGCACCAGGTATCCATGCAAGCAAAACACCTATATACATAAAAAATGTTTTAAGGAGAAAAAAATTATTTGGGGGGTGGGGGCTGGAGAGGTTAAGAGCACTGGCTGCTCTTCCAGAGGTCCTGAGTTCAATTCCCAGCAACCACATGGTGGTTCACAACCATCTATAATGAGAGCTGGTGCCCTCTGCTGGTGTGCAGACATACACTGTACACTGTATACAGGGTCTTATGTAGCCCAGGCTGGCCTTGAACTGACTGTAGGTGAAGAGGACCTTGAACTCTTGATCCTCTTGCCTCCCAAGTTTGGAATTATAAGCATTTATCATCATGCCTGGCTCTCTTAATTTTATAGATTTATGTATGTGAGGGTTGGGAGCCAAACTCTGAGCTTCCACAAGCACAAGTGCTCTAACCACTGAGCCATGGCTCCAGCCCCCCATATAGTTTTTATTTTTTTGAGACAGGATCTTGCTTTATATCCCTGGATGGCCTAGCACTCTCTATTTAGCCTAAGGCTGGCCCTGAACTCACTTCAATCCTGCCTCTGCCTTCTGTGTGCTGGGATTGCAGGCCTGTTTTTTCAGACCTGGCACTCTCAATCTACCAAGCCTATCTTCTAGCATCAAAAAGTCTGGAACTGCCAGGAGGCGGCGCACGCCTGTAATCCCAGCACTCGGGAGGCAGAGTCAGGCGGATCTCTGTGAGTTCGAGGCCAGCCTGTTCTATAGAACGAGATCCAGGACATCCACCAAAGCTACACAGTGAAACCCTGTCTCAAAAAAACCAAAAAAAAAAAAAAAAAAAAAAAAAGTCTGGAATCTTGAAAAAATAAAAAATGATTATATGTATGTGTGTCTGTCTCTGTGAGAATATGTGCATGTGAGGGAAGGGGCCTATGGAGTCCAGAAGAGGGCGTCATTGGATTGCATGGGGCTAGAATTATAGGCAGTTGTGAGTTGCTCAGCATAAATGCTAGGGACCCTGGTCCTCTGCAATACACACTCCTAACCACTGAGCCATCTGTCCAACTCTTTTATTTTTTGTACATTTGCTTTTTATTATTTTTTATTATTGTATTAAGATTTATTTGTTTATCATGTATACAGTATTCTGCCTACATGTGTCCCTGCAGACCAGAAGAGGGCGCCAGATCTCATTACAGACGGTTGTGAGCCACCATGTAGTTGCTGGGAATTGAACTCAGGACCTCTGGAAGAGCAGTCACTGCTCTTCACCACTGAGCATCTCTCCAGCCCCTTTTTATACATTTGTTTATTCAGTGTGTGTGTGTGTGTGTGTGTGTGTGTGTGTGTGTGTGTGTGTGTGAGAGAGAGAGAGAGAGAGAGAGAGAGAGAGAGAGAGAGAGAGAGAGAGAAAGAGAGAGAGAGAGAAAGATTTTAGGCATTATGCTCCCACTCTGTGGGTCCTGGGGATTGAATTCAGGCCATTAGGCTTGGTGGCAAGCACCTTTGATTATTGTTTTGGTTGGATGGGGTCTATTGAGATAGCGTTTCACTGTGTAGCTCAGATTAGCCTTTGGGCTCATTATGCATCCTAAACTGGTCTCAATCTTCTGTCTGGGCCTCCTGAATGCTGGGATCATAGGTATGAGAGACATGTCTAACCCACATTATTTATTTATTTTATTATTTGGCTTTTTGAGACAGGGTTTCTCTGTAGTTTTGAAGCCCATCCTGGAACTCACTCCATAGACAGAGCTGGCCTTGAACTCAGAAAGATCCACTTGCCTCTGCCTCCCACGTGCGGGATTAAAGCTGTGTGCTACCACACCTGGCCACCCTGTATTATTGTTAAGGGGATACAAAAGATGAGTAAGGAGCCAGCAGGATGGCTTATTGGGTAAAGGTGCTTGCAGTGGGAGCCTGGCGACCCACATAAAGATGGAAGATGAGTGTGGTGGTGCACACCTTTGATCCCAGCTCTTGGGAGGCGGAGGCAGGTGGATTTCTGGGAGTTCCAGGCCAGCCTGAGTTGCATAACCAGTTTCAGGACAGCCCAAGCTACATAATGTAGAGACCCTGTCTCAGATAAGTAAATGATGTTGAGAACCAGCTCCACAAAGCTGTCTCCTGGCCACCAAGGATGTGTGTCCCACCTCGTGCACACATACTAAGGTTTCTTTGGTTTTTCGAGACAGGGTTTCTCCGTGTAGCTTTGGAGCCTGTCCTGGATCTTGCTCTGTAGAGTAGGCTGGCCTTGAACTCACAGTGCTGGGATTAAAGGCGTGCACCACCATGGCCCAGCTTAAGATACCCTTTATTTTACATATGTTCCTTTCATTTAACTTAATTGTGAAACCTCTCACTTCCCCTCAGTTTGACCTTTTCCTCACACAGGCTCCCATCTCCCTTTGCTGTGACTGTCTAGTTCTACATAAACTTCAGGCCAGGGCTATTTTATTTTTATATATTTTCGAAGATTTTATGTGTATGAGAGTTTTGTTTACAAGTGAGTGTAACATTTTTGTGGAGTGCCCAAGGAGGTCAGAAGAGACTGTCCCCTGGAACTAGTGTTACAGAAGGTTGTGAGCTGCCTGCCATGTGTGTGACCTTGGAACCAGATCCTAGGTCCTCTGCATGAACAGAAGGTGCTCCTTAACCTCTGACCTATCTCTCTAGCCCCCCACCCCCCTTTTTTTTAATTAAAAAACAAACCAAACACACACCTTTTTAAAAAAAAGACTGGGTCTATGAAGACCAGACTAACTTTGAACTCAAAGAGATCCAACTGCCTCTGCCTTCCGAGAACTGGAATTATGGGCGTTCCCCACCCCATCCAGCGCCCTGCCCCACCCTTTTCCTCCCAACTTTTTATGTATATGGGTTTTTTGTCTGTATGTATGCCTGTGCATCACATGCAGGCAGAGCTCCTGAAGGCCAAAGGGGGAATCTGATCCCCCGGGGCTGAAGTTACAGACACTCTAACTTCACTGGAAGCTGGGAATCAAAGCTGAGACCTCTGGAAGAACGGCCTGTGCTCTCCACGGCGGAGCCATCTCTCCAGGCCTCCTCACTTATTTCTCGGATAGGTCTCTTGCAGCTTCGGTTAGCTTGCAATAGAGGATAACCTTGAGTTTCTGATCCTTTTGTCTCCACTCTCCCAGTGCTGGGATTACAGGAATGGGTACACCACCATGGTGCTATGGAGGGAACCCAGGGGTTTACACATGCTAGGCAAGCACTCCACCAACTGCATTCCCAGCTCCTAAATAATACATTTTCATTAGCCACATCCTTTGTAGTTGGTGGATATCCACATTAATTTCCAATTTTTTACATTAATATATAATTTTTAAAAAAATTTATTATGTATAATGTTCTGCCTGCAGGCCAGAAGAGGGCACCAGATCTCATTACAGATGGTTGTGAGCCGCCATGTGGTTGCTGGGAATTGAACTCAGGTCCTCTGGAGGAGCAGCCAGTGCTCTTAACCTCTGAGCCATCTCTCCAGCCCCAATACATAATTCTTTTATTCATCCTATTTATTTTACATCCTGGTTGCAGCCTCCTCCACCCAATTTCCCCTCCCAGTCCCTCTCCCCCAATTTCCAATTTGACACTAAAATTAACTCATAATTCCCTGACTACAAAACTCATTTTTTATTTTATTTTTTATTTTTTTGGTTTTTCGAGACAGGGTTTCTCTGTGTAGCTTTGCGCCTGTCCTGGATCTCACTCTGTAGCCCAGGCTGGCCTCGAACTCAGAAATCCACCTGGCTCTGCCTCCCGAGTGCTGGGATTAAAGGTGTGTGCCACCACTCGGCTAAAACTCGTTTTAAAATAATAATAATAATTTAACGAGCTGCCATGTGTAGGTGCTGGGATTTGAACCTGGGTCTTCTGGAAGAGCAGCCCGTGCGCTAAGCTGCTGAAACTGAGTTTTTAAAACAGACTCTCCAGGAACCCAGGCTGGCCTGGAACTCGGTATGCAGTCAAGGGTAACCGAACTTCTGACCCTCCTGTCTCTACTTTCCAAGGCTGGGACTGCAGGTGTGTGCCCCTCGGAGGTCCTTAAAACACTGATGCCGTGTGGTTGGTGGTGGTGCACACCTTTAATCCCAGCACTCGGGAGGCAGAGGCAGAGGCAGGAGGATCTCTGTGAGTTCGAGGTCAGCCAGAGCTGTTACACAGAGAAACCCAGTCCGGAAAAACCAAAACAACAAAACCCAACAAAGAAACAACCCCGCCAAAACACACACACAAAAATACCAACCAACTAGCCGGGCGGTGGTGGCGCACGCCTTTAATCCCAGCACTCGGGAGGCAGAGCCAGGTGGATCTCTGTGAGTTCGAGGCCAGCCTGGGCTACCAAGCGAGTCCCAGGAAAGGCGCAAAGCTACACAGAGAAACCCTGTCTCGAAAAACGAAAAAAAAAAAAAAAAAAAAAAAAAAAAAAAAAAATACCAACCAACCAACCAACCAACCAACTAACCAACCAACCAACCAACCACTGATTAGTCAAGTCAAGGAGGCTCAGGGACTAAACGCATTGCCGCCAAGCCTGGGCCACCACGACCGTCAGCCGGACTCCCGAAAGGCGTCCTCCGGCCCCGACACGCACGCAGCGCCACGCTCCCATCTCCCCGTACACACACGCATTTAAAAAAAAAAAAAATCTTATTAATAACTTGGATCGGCGAATGCAGGTAGCAGCAATCGTGACCGCCACTTTATCGATCACGCCGAGATCAGAAAACACCACCACGCGGGGCTCGGCCCTCGGCTCGCTTTGGAGCGGCCGGCTAGAACCGCGACTCGCCGAGCGCCGACCCAAAAGGGGCCGCGCCAGCCCCCACCGCTGGCTTCCGGGTCTCGTTGGTCGCCATTTCCTGTTTCTTAACGGTGCATGCTGGGATAAGTAGTCTACTTCCCCGGGGCCGGCCGCGAGCGCCGGGCCGACGGGGAACTCCATTTCCCGAGGTACCTAGCAGCGGGGGCCGAACCCAGAGGCGGGGAGGCCGGTTCCGGTTGCATCAGCGTGGGCTCCAGGGCGAGATGAGACTGTTCGTGAGCGAGGGCTCCCCGGGGAGCCTGCCAGTGCTGGCTGCGGCCGCCAGGGCCCGGGGCCAGGCGGAGCTGCTCATCAGCACCGTGGGCCCCGAAGGTACCCGAGTGGCTGCTGGTGGGCGGAGGGGGAGGGGGGCGATCGTCTCACCGGTGTCCGCCAAACTCCAGCGCCCGTCCCCCCGGTCACGCTCCGTTATTGTTGGTCACTCCGTCCCCCTTTCTGTCCTTGATCCTTCTTTCATAAGTTCCTTCCCATGATGATCCTCGCTGTATCCTTCCCGTATTCTTAGCCTAGTTTTCCACGGTCCTGCCTGACTCCGTTATCTCCTTAACCTTCCCTCCCAACTATCACGCAACTCCCTCCAACCCGTCCACTCGTGATAACCTCCAGCTGACCCCTTTGTCGGCTTTTCAGGGACCCCCCCTCCCGCCTTTTTTAGGGCCTCAATACAGACATATGCACACCCGGTTTACCTCTTACTCCCAGCCAGTTATTTGGGTGACTTTTTAAGAGTTCTCTTGTCAAATCCTCTCCTCTCTCTTAGTGCCGGTCTCCCACTCTGAACCCCAGGTCAGTTCCGGTTCGTGGCCGAAGCACTACTCTGTGCACTACCTCCTCTGGGTGGTTCCCACCTGTTGTTTCCAGTTGGCGGTCTCAACAC